ATGCTTCTGGCGCAGAATTCTGGAGCAGTGTTCTAGGCCGTCGTTAAATCCAACTGGCATACTTGTTTGCTTGTTGCAGCAAATATGGGAATACTTCTCAAATGAAAGACTCCGCATCTTAGTAATACCTTTGCTGCAGACCTTAGTAGAAGACCAGGCACCATGCTGCAGGTTTGTTATATTAGCTAGCACCTGTATTGGTCACGGACACCAGCATGCTCAGCTCACGTAATGCCTTTTACGTAAGGAATACATCTCGCTCCATCACTTTATAAAGCTTCAATCGGCGGGCTTCATCTTGGCTTCGCATGTTTTCACACAGACTATCGCTGGCGAAGCTTCTGCGAAGATTGCTTCAAAGGGATTGGAGCAATCAGATGGACCTTGGGGTATGTCAACTCCACATGCCTTGTCTTTGCGTCTTTCACTGCAACGGAAAACAATACAGGATGCGCACCCCGGGCTGTTCTCCTGTAAATGGTGCGCTATCACTCAGAACGAATTGAAGGAAATGCTGACGACATTATCACGGGATGAATGTGAAGGGGTGCGAGAGGAAGTTTCGGCTTATCAGGGAGTTGTAGGCCGTCTCACCCAGCACGGGCTAAACTAAACTTCGGTCCAGGAAGCCAAAAGTGTTATTGCTGGGAGCTCTGCATCCACAACAGCTAGCTGTGTCGAAATCGTCTTAGGCCAGCTTTTGCCTAATTTTCCCCCTTAAGCTTTCCCGCCTACCAAAATTTAGCAACAGAAGCCAATCAGCCTTATCCGCTTGGTTTCATACGGCCGGCAACTTTAAACATATGTATTGACTCAGACATAGCTGGCCTGGGAAGTCACGCTTCCAAGTTGATCAATGACGTCACATCACAGGCATTTGCTATAAAACATCGATTTGTAAGAGGAAACTTGCACACGTCCTTCTAGGCGTCACCTTTTGGTATTTCCGGTTTGTGGTATTTGCTGGGATGTATTTTTGCTTGTGATCCTGTGCCATTTGGCGACGTGCCATATATTGTCCCGAAAACCAAGAGGCTTTCGGGTTCTTTCAGGTCTATATATGCCTGTTGTCGTAAGGCCAAAAATTCCGCTGAATCCGCCAAGCAGTATCCAGTGCGCATCTGCTTCCGCATAATGTTTTGCATTTTTTGTTGCCTTCAAGGCAACAACGAACTAACTGCTCCCCGCTTATTCCGGACTTCAGTTCCTTAAAGATGATGCAATGACTCACAAAACGTGACATGTTTTCCCTGATGCTGACCGCACCAAGAAGACTGGTCAACAGATGCAAGCTGCTTTTGCATACAAAATACGAGATTTCCACTCAATATTTTGCCAGAAGAAGGGGAACCAGAAGAGCAGTGGCATTGCTCGATTATCGTCTTCTGCGTATGTGCAACTGAGTTGAAGACCAACGCCTACATGTGCTCATATTTAGTGGTGATCCAACGATATACAATTCTGGTGACTAGCTATTATACAAAAAAGTGTGAGCAAGTGCGTCCATCTGCAGGTTGACGTGCTGAATCCCCTGGGGACAACCGCAGAAATTGCAGAGCGACAGTTCGACTTTATTCGCTGATCTATGAAGCCCAAAACATACGTAGGAAATGCAGAAAAGCGTATTATACGTGAAATAGGGCCACCCAATCCCCTGTTGCGCCAGAACAGACACATTTTTCCGGATGGCTTGTGGAGAAGTGGGGAGACTCGCTCCTTTGGTTCCTACTGAGTCGCTGCATCCAAACTCAGAAAGCTCACAAGGCCCTCAACAGTCCTATAAGAGAAAGGGAAGTGAGGCGTATCTGAGACCAGCAATGAACGCTCTGGAGACGGCGCAAATGCCTAGAACTTGCTTTCTTCCCCTATAGGAAGGAAGTTGGAAGCGCCTATTCAACTTCTGCAAATTATACGAATAGTCACGCAAAGATGTGGGTGAATACGAAGTGTCTACTTACGGGACAAGTACTGCTGTCACGAGGGTGCGAAGGCACAACAGAAATCAGGAGATAGACTGAAGACAATAGCGGCAGCAGTGGACGTCTATCTTAATCTTTTCTGCCAAAGGATATACCTACATATGAGGTGATAACCAAACTGTGCCTCGTTTGAGGTCAACCTGGCATCTTGGCGGAACGCGGTAGGACGTCATGGATTTGTACCGGAGTAGATGGCGTCTGCGGGGGAATACTACAAAAGGCCTAAAACTGAAATTCAACTGCTTGGAAGAAGGGGTGGCTAGCCGAGAGGGAAGCCACTGTGAAGCTGCAAGGCCGCCCAGAGACTTTCGATGAACATCGCGTCTCGAGTGGGCTTGAACAGAGCAGCAGTAGCAAAAAGCACACAGAGAAAGAATAGTGCATAAAAGAAGCCGAAGAGTGACTCCGTGAAAGTTAGGAATAATATAAAGAAGCCATCTTGCTTGCATTTGGCCCCAATCCAGTTTGTCTGTTTGCGGCGCCTTCCGTGCAAATTTGCACTTTTCAAGCCTTTTCGAGGTACCTAGATATTGCGCTGCACTGTGCCACTGACCCCTATTTTCAGAATATGCAAGTAAGTAGACAAGACAAACATTGATGCGGAGAATGTATATGCACAACTGTTCCATGTATGACGGTGGTCTCAAGGGCCCCAGCAGACGATTTGGTTGCTGCTATGCATAGCTTGAACACCGTCACACAGTTTACCGCACTGACTTACACCACGAAAGAGAAAAGTACTCTGCGCGCTCGATTTGCTTGGCGCGCGACAAATTTCGGGGAGTCGTCCGTGTGTCCGGAATCGGTCTCTTCACCGCTGCGACACACAATCAAAATTCCCATGCGGGCTGCTCCCTAGCTTTGTTTCTCCCCGCACGCCTCATCCACCAACCGGGCGTCCAAAAGAAAACTAGTATTTCTAGTTTTCTTTTGGACACCTGGTTGACCTGCTTGCTGGGAAGACTCTCTTGCCTCTTCAGGCCCTTCCCCTCCTGCAAACGCACGTAATTGCGCCAAGCAACACGACAGCTTGAAGCAGTGTTTCCCACACTACCACTACTGCCGCATGCCTGTTGGGATATCTAGATCTGCGCCCCTTTGCAGAGGCATTCATTTCTGATAAGCATATCCCCTTATACTCAACGCGCAAATGACTGGTCATCGAAGCTTTGGTCTTACGCCATCCCCATATCTTTTTCAATCCTCAGTCTATTGCTTGTTAGTGATTACTTGTTCCACCACCACGAGTCCGTGTGGAGTTTCGCGCAGTGGAGGCTTAGGATCTCGTGCATTCCTGCAGCCGCTCTCCACTCGACAAGCGTAATACGCTATGGACCCTGCATGATTTTCTTCCACCTGATTGTGGGCAGATTTTGTAGCATCTAAGCTTGGAACGGGGAACATTATTGACTCTGGAATCGCCGCATCAGCAGCTTCCAGTTACTCATGAAAATAGTGCCCTGAACATGCACTGACTCCAAAGTTGAAGGGCCCGTTAGGCACCCAACTCAGGCACCCAACTCACGGGTCTCCATAGCCTAAGCGTAGTCTACATACTAGGGAACTTCTTAGATGGATCTTTCTCATGATCCCGTACTTCCGCTTTAAACGTTGTTTGCTAGATAAGGGTGCCCTCCCCAGTTGCTCTCGTTACTACCACCACTGGAGTTTCACCTAGGCAGTCAGTTTCTGGTCGAATTGTGCGTGCTTGGCAACTGTGCTACCGTCCTCAGCGACTGAAGCGGTAGCAGCAGCCAGCTGCACCATCAGTTAAGTGGAGAAGGGGACAGCAGAAACAGTCGGTAGTTTCAAAATCAGTAGGAAGCAACAGAATGTAGCAGTACCACACGTCGACAGCATATCCCGTATGCGGCAAGAGAGAGGAGCGCGAACGAGCAGGTATATCACTAGGCCACAGTGCGGAAGGTCTCCAGCAAACAGCATCGTTATTCCACAGCTCGGAAGAGAAGCACCAGACAGCAGCAGCAAAACACCGCTACAACAACCAGAAGTATTCACCGCGCCATGCGCAGCAAATGAGGCAGCATGTCCAATGCCAGAGCGTCTCAGTGCTGTTTTGGCTCCTGTGAGCGTTGCTGCTACTATTGCTGCTTCTACTGCGCCGCAGCAGCAAAACACCGCGATAACAACCAGAAGTATTCACCGCGCCATGCGCAACAAATGAGGCAGCATGTCCAATGCCAGAGCGTCTCAGTGCTGTTTTGGCTCCTGTGAGCGTTGCTGGTACTACTGCTGCTTGTACTGCGCCTATGACCAGCGTAAGCTTTAGTAATTCAGACATACATTAAACCCTAGTCTAAGGCATTTGACAGTTCTCCCACACAGTGGAGTTCCCGCAGCTACAAGCCATAGGGATGAGGAGACAGACACACACCGTCTGCTTCCGGTGATGCTGCATGCATGAAGTCTACGTTCACACACACAATCCTCTTTTTTTTATAGTAAGACTGATCCTTTTTACTCAAAGCTAGTGCTGCTTGAGCAATAACTGCTGATTATGCTGCTACGCCGGCCGAGCAGCAGTGATACATCCAGCAGCTGGAGCAGCAGCAGGGGCTGCTGCTGCTACGCATGCAGTATGGAGACCTCATCAACTTCAATGAACTAGTACGACTCAAGTTGTTTAGATGTATAGCCATCGGTTCCTAAGAAGAACGTGACGTAGGGCTTTGCCCTTATGCCACTGAAGCTAGCAGCAGCGACAGCAGCAACAGCAGCAATAGGACCCCGTCCTTAGTTGTGTCTGTTGCCAAGAATTTGTCTTAACTGTAGGGGTATGACTTCATGCTCCATGTCTTGCCCCCCTGCTGCTGCTGCAGTGGCAGGAGGAGCAGCAGTGGCGGAAGCTGCTGATCCTGCTCCTGTAGCAGGAGTAATCGTAGCTGCAGCAGGAGTACTAGTAGCTGTAGCAGAAGCAGCTTATGATCAAGGACAAGCAGCAGACGGCATCTGGAAGCATAAACGAGGCCTATCGGTTGGTGGCGTATCCATGCTTCTGCCATGACATTTAGCGGCTTGCGGCAGCAGTTGCTGCTGCATCTGCTGCTACCACCGCTGTTGTGCTTTGTGCTATTCTTACTAGCCGGCCTAATCCTGCCTCCCATTCTTTCTTTTCTCCTGCCGCGACTTTTGAGGCGAGTCCAAATAAAGTCTACCCGCAGCGACAGTAGCAACGAGAGTAGCAGCAGTATCAACGATAGCAACACGAGCAGCAACTCCAGCAGCCGCAAGGTAAACACTGAAGATGAACAACTGCTGCCTGTGGCCAACCGGCCACGAAAGCTATCAGAGGAGGGGGCTCCCCAAATCTCGACAACGACGGATTCTGTTGCTGCTGACTTTCGTTTTGTCTCGCCGATACAGAGCAGCAGCAGCCGCAGCAGCAGCAGCACGAGGCGTCTGTACCTGACATGCGAATCTGTCCGCCACGGGGGCTTTCTCAAGTTGGAAGATGCCGTCGTCGTGCTAGAGGAGGAGGTGACGCAACACTGTGCAGCCTGCGAAAACTGCAGCAGCAGCAGCAGCCCCAGGTGGAAGTGCGACGAATGCGTCACCCACAAGAGCAGCGAAACACGTATTTCTGTCTCCTTTTTGCACTTGTCTATTAGCCGCATGGTAGCGGGGAAGGCTTTTAGTCCTAGCACCAGCCAGAGCACCAGCAGGAACAGCAGCCGCACTGACGGAGTTGTTGAAAGCGGTGAGCCCTGTCGAGCAGCAGCAACTGATACTGCTCCAGATAACGACAGCAGAAACACCAGCCACGGCAGCAGGAAGCGCAGTGGGGAGAGCAGCGGCAAAGCAAGAAGCAGCAGGATACTGGACGAGCTACTTAAACCCGTCTTCTTCCTCTCAGGTTGTCTGCTGCTTATACGGCGTGCGCTGCAGCAGAGCAGCAGCCGTATAAAAGAGCCACTCACCAGCCGCTTGCTGCTCAAGGCGGACCGCATATCTGTTACGATTCGCCTGAATCGCAGCAACAGCGGCAGCAGCAGCAGCAGCAGCAGCAATGGCAGCAGCACAGGAGTCGCAGCGAGCTCGACTGACACCCTAGAGCAGCAACATACCGAGCTACCAGCAAGCTCAGAAGCGGCAGCAGCAGCAGCGGCGTCGGCACCTGCACCAAAAGCAGCAACTGAAAAAGCTGCAGATGATGCTAGAACGAGCCCTAGTTTGCTCCAGTTCGTGCTGCAGTTGTGCATGTTACATGCACTGGCGCGGACCTGCGCGTTCAGCGCTGGCTGTATTGAGGTGCTCGCGTTGCTAATGCTGCCCGAGCCGCTCCCTCAGCAAGAACTGCAGGAGCGGGAGCAGCAGCAGCAACAGCAAAAGCAGCAGTTGCTGAACAAGCAGTTCCAAGACGACTGCGGCAGCATGGGCGTCCTATTGACGGCCAACGAATTGCTGCTGTTGCCTTCTGCAGCGTTTGCGTCCCTTCGGGTGCACGCAGTCACAACAGGAGGCTTATGCTGCCGTCTGCTGCTAGACGCATCTGGCTGTCTTTCCGTGATGCCCACGGACTTGTTGACTGCTGCTGCTGCTGCTGCACGCAGCTCCGCAGCCTTTGCCGCTGCAGCAAAACATACCGGGGATAGCACGCACTCAGTAGAAGCTTCTACAAGGACGGTAGTAGGAGAGCGGCCGCAGCAGCAGCTCCAGCACAGACGACCCGCTGCACTTCAAGCTGAAGAAGAAGGAGTCACAATCAGCAGCAGCAGCAAAGATGCAACAGCTGCTTTGAGTGGAAGCTCGTCTCGGCAGGCCTCTCGCGAACTTTCTGCTAGCGATGCCAGCAGCAATAGCTGCTGCACTAGTAGCAGCAGCTGCAGCTGCACTGCCTCACCAGCAAGGAGGTGGTGGTGGCGAGGTGCCGTGGAAGCGGACAGCAAAGACATGACCGTTTCGGGTGCCACGTACTTGTCTCACCTGATGTCTGTGTACTGCATGGGCCGTCTGAATGCTTTTGGTCTTCGAGCCGCAACAGATGCTGCTCTAAGGGTTGCTGGTGTTCATGTCAGTAAGCTAGTAACGGGCGAAGACAAGTGGCTGTGCCCTGTGAAGGCCGTGCACCGGTCGCGGGGCCGCTTGGTACTACCGGAGCAGCTGCCGCCTGCTGCGCTGCTTTTGCCGCCACTGCTGCACACGGAGGAAACCGTGGAGGTGACTTTGCTGCTGGACTCAGGTCTCAGCAGCAGCAGCAGCAGCACATGCACGGCGCGCGCAGTGTACCTACACTCTAGCGGGACTGTCGCCGTCAACATCCTTGTCAATCTTCTTGCCAGAGTAATTGATGCCTACTGGAGATGCAGGAGATCTACTCGAAACAAAAGCAGCAGTAGCAGCACCAGCAGCTCTAGGGGGGATTTGTTGAGGAAAGAGAACACCTGCGACACTCAAAGTGTCGCGGATGCACAAGGGCCTCAGGGCAGCAGCAACAGGAACCATGGAGACACTCAGCAGAGGACTCTGCCTGTGCTTGTTTCAGTGCCGCGTTTGCTGCTGCAAGTTCTCGAGCGTAGCAGCAAAAGCGCCTTGCTGCTGCATGCGGACGGTGCTCTGTTGCAGCTAGAGACAGTGGTGCGCCAAACCCAGCGACAAGTCAACTTGGTCAACTGCGATTTCCAGCAGGAGCTGCAGGAGATGCAGCAGCTCCAGCAGCATCTTGCGGAAGAGCAGCGGCGGGACCACATGCCGCCATTGTCATCTATGGGAGCAGCTACAGGAAACTGCAAAGATAAGGCTGCCCTGAGTTACAGCTGCGACGGCAGTAGCAGCAAACTCGTGCGTTTTGCTGTCTCCACAGGCCTCTGCAGGCTATCCACCGCTCACGTTCTGAACGGCGGCGTTCCTGCTGCTGGGCCTTTTGCTGCAGTTTCGGATCCAACAGAAACAGCGGCTGCAGTAGCAGCGCGTAGGGACGCAGCAGCAACAGAAGCAGCTAAAGCTCTCCACTCCATTCTTTGCTCGGTGCCGTCGCAAGGGATTTCAGGCGACGAGATGGGCAGTTTGCCTGCTCTGTCCCCTCGGTCGGCAGCAGCAAAAGCAGCAAAAACGGCAGCGGACAAAGAGCCAGTGGCAGCCAAAACAAACGCCACGAATGCAGCAATCGCGGCGGTGTCATTTTTTATAGGCGCTGGAGAGTTGCAACGTCTCGAAGCTGCTTACGGCGATGGCAGTAGTAGCTCCAGTAGCTGCGGGAGTCGGAGTTGCTGCTGTGGCAGCAGCGGGAGTGTGGTGCTACTCCCTGATGAGAATTCTTTGGGCGATCAGTGGGTTCCAAGCGCCTTTACTTTGGCTGGATGGTGTGGAGCCTTGATTCTGAGCTGCAGCAGCAGCAGCGTCGAGATTAAGCCTCTGGGGGAAGCAGCACGGATTGGGGTGTATGGACAGGTGCAGTTGATACCTCTGTATCGACAGCACGTACGTGTCGTGCTGCCGGGGGGCTGGCTCCACTGGAGAGAGGAGGGGTTATTGTTTTGGGTCCTAGTAATTTTGTACCTTCGCGCTCTCTACAGGCACTGCAAGGAGAGGTTCACCTTGCAGCAGCCCTGTTCCCCTTCTTTTTCTGCTGACAGCAAAGAAAACAACAGCAACAGCCAAAATGGCAACCCTGGCAATTGCAGCAGTAGGATCAAAGGAAATGAGGCTCCCAGAAGAAGTGCTGACGAAGCAGAAGGCTTTGCTTCGGTTGTAGCATCAGGCGAAGAAACTGCGTCAGGAGCTGCGGCTGCACGAGAAGCAGCAGGGAACGGACGTGACATTTTTTCCGCAGCAGCAGCAGCAGCAGATTTACCTTTTCTAGAGGGCACATGTCCTTTCTTTGCCGGGTTCGACTGGTCCCCAGGTATCCGCAGTTTCGCTGCAGCAGTCCAGAATTTGGACTTGTTTGAGGGGCTGACTCCTGATTGCTTCCATTTAGTGGCTCGCCACTTCGCCGTGTACTCGCCTGCTGCTACACTGCAGCCTCATCCTGAGCAGCAGCCTCACGAGGCGCAGCAGCAGCAGCAACGCCAAGTGCTACTGCGGCTCCTTATCCAGACTATGCATGTACACAGCTCTTCACTCACTGGTGGAGCTATTGTTGCTGCCATGCCGCTCCACGTACAGTCCATGTACGTCGAAACTAGCAGCAGCAGTAGTGACAACAGCAGTGGCAGCAGCAGCAGCAGCAGCAGTGGCAGCAGCGTTGACAGCAGCAGTGGCACCGAAACTGAAGAGCTACGCCAATGCCATGCGTTCACTTCTTTTCAGTCTCTTCACCTTCAAGTGCATGAGAGTCTGCAGAATGTGCAACAGCAACACCAGGATCAGCAGCAGCGGGGCCAGACAGAGAGCGTGCTGCGTGCATGCGAAGGAACAGAGACAGCTTTTATTTCAGACTTGTGCGTCTGGGTGCCTCACAGCGGGAGGTCCGTCAAAGTGTCTATGCAGCAGGCTAGCAGCTTTGTGCTGCAGCAACAGCTGTTGCAGCCGCTCTTTGCTCTGGTAGAGGCAGTGCAGCAAGATTTGCTACTGCCCTCTCTTATTGCCCTGAAGCTAGTAAGCATCTTGTGCTGCTCGCGCCGAAGATGTTGCTGACTTTGCTGCTGCCACTACTGCTGCTGAAGATGTCCTTGGCGGGGTTGTTGGTGTTGCAGCCGCCCACGCCTCGGTGATGCCCTTGCAGCAGGCAGGGGCTTGCTGGCCACTATTCAGCTGCGACACAATATGCAGCAGGCACAGCAGCAACACGGGGTTCTGTTTGCAGAAGAGCTTCGGGTGTATGGACACTTTGTGCGTTTTTGTATTTGCTTCTGCAGGACCACCGCCTGCATGGTGGCCACGAGCCGGTGCTCCAGATTGGAATAGGAAGCATTTCAGCTTTCGTTTCTTCCGAATTTTTGGTGAAGACGGAGGACCTGACGGTGAACATACATCCTGTTTCGCTCCATCAAACCCCTGCTGTTTTGCGGAAACTGGTAGAGCAGGAAGCAACGCGCTTGCAACAGCTGCAAGCGGAGCACCAGCACAGTTTTGCGAATTACGGTTCCACGGACAATCGGCAGAAACAGCAGCAAGGGCAGCAGAAAAAGGAGCAGCAACAGCAGCAGCAACAAGAACAGGAGCAACAGCCACAGGAGCAACAGAAGCAGTCGCAGAAGCTTCAAGGAGAGAAACAAAGGAGCAAACGCTGGGAATTGGAAAACACTCCTTACCCGTACGTCGACGTCTTGGTAACAAATCCTCAAGTTTTCTGCGTTGGCCAGGATGCCAAGCAGCAGCAGACGGATGAGCACCAGCACCGGCAAGAGCAGCAGGAACAGCAAAAACAAGGACCGCAGCAGCAGCAGCAGACGCGAAAGCGGATGCAAGTGGAGCCCCCTATTTTCTGCGGAGACAAAATTCGTGTGTCAGTGCACCGAAAGTCTTTGCTGCTGAATGAGTTGAGCCAGAACCAGCAGCAGCAGCACCAGTCGCAGGTTTATGGCGAGACGCAGCAGTGGGTGTGCGTTTTTGTTGACGGGGTTACTGCGGTGTATCCAGAGACACTGCGGGGCGACTCTCTTGCTGCTGCAGTCGCCGATGCAGCGCATGCAGTGGGGCCGCTGGTTCGGCAAATCATCGGCGCAGCATCAACTTACCAGATGCAGCTGCAGCGCCACAAAACAGCTTCTCTTGCCACTGGTCGTTTAGTCCGCTGCAGCAATGACCCGCAGCAAGTCCGGTCTCCTGCTGCTGCTGCTGAAGCTGCTGCTGCCAGAGACGCTTGCACAGCGGCACTCGCGATTCCGCTGTACCTTTGTCTGTCTCGGGTTTACGCAGCCTGCCTCACGCGAACAGTAATAACGGAAAGAGCAGCAGCACCAGCAGGTGCAGCAGCAGTAGCAGCAAGTCGGCATACGCACGAAGAGGAGGCTCCAAGCGACCAACTGCTGCATATTCCTGAGGAGAACCTCCGAGTGTGCACTAAAAGCGACGATAACGATGCCAAGAGTACTGGGAGCGCCTGCAGCAACAGGAACGACGAAAGCAGCGGCGGGCTCAGCGAGGGCAGCAGCAGCAGCAGTAGTAGTGGCGGCTTCAACACCATAGAAATCTGCCTCTGCCGCCAGGCTAGACCAAGCCTCCACAGAGCTTTGGGGGATCCGTCGGAAACGCCCGTATCGACGGACTTTTATTGCGAGAGCAACAGCAGAAGCAGCAGCAGCAGCAGCAGCAATAGCAGAGAAAGCAGCAAGGAGCCGCCATCCGCTCCTCCAACAGGTAGAAGGACAAGAGAACTGAAAAGGTATAAGCAGAACCCCCGAAATGCCCGTAGCAGCGACTTTATTGATCAACAGAAACGACAGGATCAGCAGCAGCAGCATGAGCAGCGGCAGCAAAATGAGCAAGAGCCGCTGCACCAAGACGAGCAGCCACAGGAGCCAGAGCAACAAGACGAAGTCGTTCCGCTGCAACGTGCTCTTTGCCCCTTCGCAGATCCTGCTGTACTTGCTGCTGCACCAGCTGTACGCAGCGCTGAGGTGCAGCAACTGCTGAGCAGAAAGCTACAGCAGCGGCATGCTGTAGTCGACATGTCCCCATGGCAAGCTGTGGGCAGCTGTGTTGCTCCTTTGCGGCCGCGTCACCAGCACCAGCAACAGCGCCGGCACCAGCACGAGCAACGGGTGCAGCAGCTGGACCAGCAGGGTCGAGTTCAGAGAAAACAACTCGCAGCCCTTCGACATATGTGGCAGCAGCGAAGAGGCAGCAGGGACAACATCTCCACTTCAGAGTTTGCATACACCCCAGTTGCTGCCTTGAGGCTGGAAAGCCTCTCGATCTGCCTGGATGACTATCGAAGGGCAGCAGCAGCAGCCACTGCAGCAGCAATCATGTTGCCACCTCCCCCCTTGGGCACTTACAGAACCCTGCAGCTGCGTATGCAGTCCATTGCACTGCGGCTGTTTGCTGATAAGCAACAGCAGCAACAGCAACAGCCGCCGTTGCGGCAGTTTCAAGGCGCTCCACTGCTGCAAGAAGAACAGTTGATGCGCCAGTACTTGACGAGACTGATACTGGCGAATCCGGGATTTTCCGGATACATGGGTAGTTCTGCTGATGCTCCTGAGGGACAAGAATGTATCGTATTGGTTTCGTCTGAGCAGTTGGATTTACACTTCGCTTCTTTTGAGTTGGCCGCAGCACCAGAGCGCTCGATCAGCGTCAGCAACAGCAGCAACAGCAAACGCACTGAAGGCTGGGGAATTGAGGACGTCTGCAGTTTGCTGCTGCAGCCGCAGAGGGTTGCCATTCGCTTTGGGCAGAGTGCAGCAGCAGCCGTGGCAGCAGCAACAGCAGCAGTCACGTGGACCCAAAGAGTCTTCGACGCCGACGCAGCAATGGCGTTTTCTGCTGCTGTTGCAGCAATCAGTGCAGAACATTGGGCGTGTGTACATCACAGGAACAGCAACAGCGACGACAGTAGCAGCAGCAGCAACGGGCATAAGAGCAAGAACAGCAGCAACGGCCCAAGAAGCCCGGATGCCAGTTTAAGTCCAACGAGCAGCAATGAGCAGAAGCAGCAGCAACAGGGACAGCAACGGCGGAAACAGCAGGTACAACTTGAGCTCTGCTTGCTTCAAGACTTACAGGTTGAGTTCTGTCGCGGGGGTTTCATGCTCGTGCGGCTGCTGCTGCCTGCACTGCATTTTGCTGCGGCCTTCCGATATTTGGCGGGAGTAGCAGCAGCTGCAGCAAAAGGTGCCACCGCTCCTTTGAGGGCAAAGCCTAGCGAGTTGGGTCATTGTAGCAACTTGGATTTCGCCGAGACAGCAGGGGCAGGGGCAGCGGCTGCTGCACCTGCAGCTGCAGAGGAATCAGGCGGCTCTTCTATCAACCCTGTGCTTCCCTATCTACTTTCACTAGACTGTTTGCTGCAGCTGAGGCACGGCCTCTGCTGCCTAGTTTACGGGCGCGCACCGACAGACACACATGCTGCTGGTCCTGCTGCGGATGCTGTTGCGTGGCAGCCACTGGTACAGCTGGCGCAGGTACTCGCCAGAGTGAGCTTTTTTTTCAAGCAGCAGGAGCAGCACCAGCACAGGCCAGAGCAAAAGGAGCAACACATGCAGCAGCAGCAGCAGGTTCCAGAGCCACTGCCACAACTAAAAGTCGACGCACAAGTGTTCATCCGAGGCATTCACCAACAGCGTCAGCAGCAGCAGCAGCAGCAGCAACAGCGAACCGTTGGCGACAGGTGGCCATCGCATCTTCCACGAAGGCAGCAGCCGCCGCCGCAGCAGCTGTCACTTAACTTGACTCCTGAACACACTTTGCTGTTAATGCAGCTCCTGTTTGGCAGATGCCAAGGCACGGCACAGCCTGCCACCCCCACAAATGCTAATCTGGAGCCGCAGCCGCTGCAGCAGCACGGGCAGCAGCAGAATTTGGAGCAGCAGCAAAAAGCAAACTGGCTAGTTCGGGTATATAGGGAGCTCCGAGAGCAGGGAGATATCATAGTCAAGCTTAGGGCGGCGGTGCGAGATTTGCATGCCAAGTGCGACTTCGCTCGCTGCAGCGTTGCTGCTGCGGAGCTGCACGACATGCTGCTGCTGCGAAGGCATCAAGAGGAAGAAGCGGTGCGTAGTAGCCAGACGAAGTGCCGTCAGCGCGAAAGCACTAGCGCAGCTGCTCATGCTGCAGGAGCTGCTACAGCAGCTGCTGCAGATGTGGGTGCATCAGCACCAACAGTCGCAGCAGTGGGAAGCACACCGAGACAGAGCGCAGAGCAGTTTACGGGGCCACTAGACGCACGTCTGCAGCGGCAAGAGCAGCAACAGCAACAAAAAGCAGGGGATTCAGTGAGGCTACTTCGCGAGGGTTTTGCAAGTATTCGCAGCAAGGCGTCTTCTGAGTGGGGAGGAATGGCGGATAGCAGCAGCAGCGGCAGCGGCTCCGAGTTTGCAGCAGAACGCAGCGTGGCGCGGCCTGCCTGGCAGCAGCAACAGCAGCAGCAAAGAAGGTCGTTGCTGCAAAGCGATATGTGGAGAAGCGTTTCGTGGCGTTCCAGAGTAGGACGCCAGCAACAGCAGCAGCGCAAGGGGCATGAGCTACCTGTGCAGTTGCAGCAGCAGCAGGGGCTGTGGTTTGAGGGGTTGCACACGTGGTCTGGAGAAGGGCTTGGAAGCGGCCTACTGCAGGAAGAATGGCGCAGCAGTAGCAGCAGCTTTAGCGGAAGCGACTCTATTTACTGTTCGTCTGACACGACCAAGTCTGCGGGGGAAGCAAGGATTTCAGGGTCAGTAGCGGAGGAGGAAGGGGGTGCTAGCACTGCAGCTGCAGCAGCAAGAGCAGCAACAGCCGCAGCAGCAGCAGGAGAAGCAGCGCGCATTTGCACGGCTGCCGATATTTGCGAAGATATCAAGACCCATCAAGTCCGGCAGAGCGTTATCTTGGTGCGACACGTTTTACTCAGCTTTGAGTGCAGGGAAGCTGCTTACAGCAGCAGCAGCGTTGTCAGGCGACGGTCTTCTGCTGTTGACTGTGGGGCAGCAAAGCAGGGACAGCAACTGCTGCAGCAGCAGCAGTTTGTTCGTGCTGCTTCTCGTCTATGGGGGCTCACAGTGCCTTCCTATCTTCCCACGCCATCAGCGGATTTGCTGCCGCTGCTCCGCGTACCGGGTATTCGCATTGAAAGACAGAAGCTGCCGCAGCAGCCGGAGCCGCAGCGGCAGCAGCAGAGCGACCCTACGCATGCAGCATGCATGCTGCTGCATTGTCCTTCTCTTTTGCTCTCTCCGACAAGTCTTGCTCATATTTTTAAGTGCATGAATTTAGCAGAGGCGGCGCGGCAGCTGCTGCAGCCCTACCTGCAGGTCTTATTGCCGCCTAAAGAAACTCGACAGCAGGAGCAGCACCAGGGCGAACGCCGCATGCGGCGACAGCAGCAGCAGCAGCAGCAGATGTCTTGCGGCATGATAGAGCTAAGCCTCAAGTGCACGTACCCGCAGGTCAGCATACACTACATAGAGCTGCAGCGGGGCCAGCAGCAGCAGCTCCTGCAGGAAGCTTCCTCGCACACGAGCCGCAGTCGCAGCGGGACTCTCGGTAGCCGCGCATCTTTACCGGGAGACAGCCGCTGCGGGGCAGCAGAAGACCCCTACATTGAAGGAGAGTGCTGCAGTGTATCTGCTGCTATGGCAGTAAACTCCTTCCCGCTGCTGCAGCAGCACCTGAGCGTGGTGGAGGCTATGTGGGCTGACAACGACCGGCTTGCAGCAGCGGCAGCAGCAGCAGACACTGCTGCAGTAGAGAATTCCATAGGATCTCAGGCCTGTTCGAGTAGTCAGCCATGCGCTGCAGCTGCAGCAGCAAGGTTGGCAGCTTGGACTGCTGCAGCAGAAGCAGCAGCAAGGAGGCAGCACAGCCACCTTGCGAATAGAAGCAGCAGCATGGGTAGCAACAGAAGCAGCAGCGGAACGCATTCAAGGTACGGAGACATAGGGAGTGGGTACCACAACTTTTTGGCGCTGCGCGGCTCGTGCGGCTGCTGCTGTCGTGGTATACCTCTTGGGTGGGCAAGGGAGGTGGCAGCAGCAGCAGCAGCACATTCAGCGATTCTTCCATCGCTGCTGCTGCTGCCGCTACCTGAGCAAGACCCGGCCCTCTGTGCCCCTATAGAGATGATACAGCACGCCTACAACAGCCGCATCAGCAGCGAACTTCGTGCTGCTCTTTCGGGAGTACAAACAACTCAGTTTGTTCTCTCCACGCCTCTCGCCGTGGCCCAAGCTCGGCTGGAGATTGCGGCGGAGACCATTCCTGCTACTTCACCATCAGGGCGTCGGCTAAAGCAGCAGCTTCAGAATCAGCAGCAGCAGCATTTGCTGCTGGTAGACGTGATATCCCGTGTTGGGCCTGTGTGCGGATCTGTGGGAGACCTTCACATGGCTGGATTGCTGTGGCACCTTCCGTTAGTTGCGTCTGCTGCTGCGTCTGCTTCCCCTACTGCTGCTGCAACGCGGCAGCGCAGCAACCGAGGAGTTCCTCACCACAGCAGCAGCAAAGCAGACGTCCGTTACCTGCTGCCTGAGCAACTCGCATATGTCTGCCTAACAAGCAGCGACAGTGAGAATGCAACAACACCGCTGGGTTTATCTACAGCCCCACCAGCAGCTGCAGATATAGCAGCTGGCTTGGCCAGCCCCGCCTACAACAGTAGCAGCTGCAGCAGTAGCAGCAGCAGCAGCGCGCGCACCGTCTCATTAGTCCACGATGCAGCCACATCGCAGTTGCCCCAGCAGCGGCAGCAGCCGCAACAGCAGCAGCTGCAGCAGCAGCAAGCTTTGCCTCGGCCTCAACAGGCGCCGCACACAAAAGGAGTGTGGGGTGGAGAGGGCAGCGCCGGCAGCAGATCCAGCGTGGCTGTAATGCCGCAACTTTTGAAGCCAGTGGTCTGTCTAGCAACGGTTTCTTGTCTTTTGGAAATGTCCGTTCCTCAGCTTGGCTGCAACTGCCGGCTGCTCTGCGGCAAATGCCTCTTCGCTGCAAATTCAGAGAGCTTCGTCATGTTGCAGCAGCTGCTGCACCGGATGCTGCTGGCGTGCAACATCAGCAGGACGAGACCGTCTTCGACAACTGCGGCTGTTGCTGCAGCAGCCGCAGCGGCGGCGAACGCAGCTGCTGCTGCTGTAGCTGCTGCTACTACAGCGCGTGCGCCTTCTAGTTCCAGACAGCATCTGCAGCCCACAGAGAATATGCACGAGGAAACCCCGACGCTCCGCGCACAAGAAAAGGCGGGGGAGGCGTCGGCAGCAGCAGCAGTAGCGGCAGCAGCATCGGCTGCGAATGCTTCCACTGCCACGGGACAAGCAGAGAACACGAATCTACCAGCTGCAGCGCAATCGCACGGACAGCAGCAGCAGCAGCAGCATGCCCAGGCGCCACAGCAGAGGCGGGTGCGGCCCTATGTTGCACGGAAGCTGCTGCATGCATTCTTAGTCGAGGAAGCAGCAGATGAGGGCCTCTCGCAGCTTCCGGGAGGTGTGGCGGGGACCAGCATGACGCGGTTGCAGCAGCTGCAGCAGCCAGCAGCCAGTGCGCTCGCTGCCGGTGATTGCGAACAGCAGCAAAAAAAGAAACCTGCCACGCAGCAACGCCGACAAATCTCTGTCGGAATCCTTGTTGAGGAGGTGAGACACAATTAAAGGTCATACAAAATCCACGCTGCTCTGAGCAACAGCATGTTAAGCCCTAGCAACCTCTACAGTGTCCTGCAGCTGACAGGGAGCTCCCTTGATGCTGCACCAAACCGTAGACCAGAAAAGACCCTCAACTTAGAGCTGCTTCTTTCCAAACTAAGGCAACCAAGGCTGCCATTTGCTGCTGTATGTGTCGCAGATTTGCTGCTCTCTCCTAAGCAGCTCCACCAATCTTCCGTTTTGCTGCATCTGCTGCAGTGATGCAGCCGGTAGCCTGCAGCTGCTGCTGCAGGACGAGAGACACCTGCAGCTGGAAGTTGACTTGGCAGATTGGCGTGTCCTAGACCTATGCCCCAAAGCAGCAGCAACCGGTGCTGCTGCTGCTGCTGGAGGTACAGGCGGCGAGGCGCACCCGCAGCAAAAACAGCAGCAGCGACGACTGGCACCGTGGTCGAGTAAGCTGCAAAGGAAAAGCACTACAGCAGAAGCTGCAGCTGCAGCTGCTGCGCTTGGTGTTGCTGCTCCGCATACACCGGAAGCCGCATCCACCGCAGGCCCTTCCTTCCTGCCTAGGTTTAATTCTGCTTGTTCTGAAGGCCTCCTTAGTGCAACAGCAGCAGCAGCATCTCGCACAGCAGCAGCTGCAAGGCTCAACTCAAGGACAAAGGCCCCTAATAAAGTTCGCGACAAGCTGCAACAGCTGCTTCCAGCGATGAGGCAGCGTGCAGCTGCTGCTGCTGCTGCTTCAGCTGCGCAGCTGCATCGCCTAATGTCCCATGGGACGCCGGGAGCTGCGGGGAACAGAGGCGCGGGTATTCTTGGTCATATGGAAAGTGCTGCATCTGTAGGTGCATTGGAGAGGCCGACAGCAACGGCAGCAGCAGCTCCTGCTGCTGCTGCTGCTGATGGGGGCAGTGTTGCAAGCAACTGGTCTCTTTTCCAGCACCCCACAGGCAACACGCTACTCAGCAGCAGCAGCAGCAGTAGCAGCGGCGGCGGCAGCAGCAGCAGCGACGAAGAAGCAGCGGGCCGCCTAAGAGCCCTACAGTCTTCATCAGATGACGAGCACGCACTGCTGCACTCTAGTAGCAGCAGCAGCAGCTCCAAGCTGCTTAATCAGGCAGTAGAAGCAGACGTGGCGGCAGTAGCAGGAGACGCAGCAGCAGAAGACGAAGCCTCGTTGCTCTTCAAGCTGCGGCAGCAGTTTGCTGCAGACAACGTATCGCATGCTGCGCAAGAGGCACCATCAGGAGCAGCAAGAGATCCACAACCACGGGAAAGCGCTCTTGAGCCAGCAGCAGCAGCGGAAGGAGCAGCAACACCGGAAACAGCAGCAGAGCTGTGGGGCGCCAAAGCCGGAAGCATTTTCGAGTCTTTCCCCGTTAGTCGGCTGGGAAAAGATGCAGCGGCAGCGAAACAGCATATGCTTTTGGGGTTCCAGCAAGAGCAGCAGCGGCGTGCACGGCAGAGGCAGGAGCAGCAGCAGCAGCAAAATCAGGAAGCAGAACAGCAGCAGCAGCACCAGCGACACTTGCAGCTGTCTCAACCGGCCTTTACTGTATCCTCCTTCTTGGGGGTTGTCCTGCCGCCAGGGCTCAAGGCTGTGCGAGTGCTTTCGCCTCTCTTCGAGCTCCACACGCAGCAGCAGAAGCAGCAGCAGGAGGGAGTAGCAGCAACAGCAGCAGGCTCCCTGGGCGGAGGCGCAGGCGGGCAAAAAGAAAGGCCAAGCCACCGACTATCGGCGCATGCGGTGTCTGTTCGCTGCAGCCATAGATTCGTAGTGCTGGATTGCGGACGTTTCCAGGTGCGTCTGTTGCTGCTGCTGCTTTCTTCGTTGCGGTCGCTGCTGCGAAGCCCGAGTTACACATTGTTGAACGATGCCAGGTATAGTGCCACCAGTTTTTCCTCTTCACGCTGTCAGCCAAGGGCGGTGTTTGCTGGTGCTGCTGCTTCTGCTGGCCTCGCTGCGCAGGTGTTCGACTACTTGCTGCTGCACATCGACCCCGTCAGAGTCTCACTGACATCTGCGTTCGTGGAGTGCCTTTACAGTTTTTTCTTCCCGCCCGCTGCCCCCCAAGCAGTAGACGCGGTGGCACTCCTTGCTCCCTCTCTGAAGTGGCCTTCCCCGGCGACTGCTGCTGCTGCTGCTGGCGGCTCTCTGTGCACGCAAGGGCCAGCTGACGTTGCAACAGCTACAGCAGCAGATGGTACAGCATCCGCGGTGCTGGGTGGGGCCCAAGGCGCGGCAGCACCAACATACGGCGAACAGCCCCATGCGTCCTGTAAGTTTGACGTAACTGCGAAATAGTTCTACGTTCTTGCCCATGATATTCGCTGCTGCAGTCACTGCACCAGCAGCTGCGGCAGTTTGTTGCGTACGACTGCAGGGACTGCCCCCAAAACGAGCAGCTCTGGTGCTTTGCAGACGGGCGCACAGAAAGCTCAGGCAGCAGCAACAGATGCAGGAAAGCGCCCGCCGGCTAAACTGCAGCAGCAGCCACAGGATCCAGGCCTTGGGGTGTACTTCTGCTACGTGCGAGTGTCGCCGTTCGCTGCTGCAGTTACCTACAGAGGTCAGTGCTGTCATGCCGTTTCCTGAATGCCTAGGGAGATCAGGGTTTGCTTTTCAGGGCTCAGCGCGTGTGTTTGAGACTTGGAATCTGGAGCTGGGCCTGGGATTTCGAGGAAGATAGTTTTGCCTCTGGCTTTCCTGATTGAAGCTCAAGAGCCTCGGGCGTGTTTCCGGCGCAGGAGCCATCCGGCTGGACAACGTTTTGGTGGAGCTACGTGCCTTTGAAGTGCAGCACAAGCTGAAGCCTTTCAAAGCCCTCATTGACAAGTACATTTGGTTCCTAGGCAAACAAGTAAGCCAGAAGTCCCATAAGCTGTAAACTCTAAAAAGGCAGCAAAGCTTGCAGCCTGCTGAAACTAGCACTGACACCGGAGTTTTCGCGAGCCACTACAGGTGCTGCATTGCGGAGCCTTCCTGGGGTCACAAAATTCAGCCAGGGACCTTTCTAGTTGAAATGTGACAGGGAGGATATCGAATAAAGATTGAGCCAATAGAAAGAACAGCCGGCACTGACACGCCTGCGTCTTGGGCTCACAGAAAAGCCCTCCCCCAGTGCACCCAACGCCGAAACCTTAATCCCCCAAAGACCTCTACAATTCAAGTCTAGTCTTCTGCATGCAAGAGCTTCCACGCCCGCTGGCACTGGTGCCGGGACAGCAAGTTCGCAGCATGCGGTCTGCTGCTGCAGCTGTAATGTTAATGCTGCAGGCGACGGGCCGCGTAATAAGCCACAAGCTTCTGTTGCTGCTGAAGAGGAGGCGGCAGCACGCGGGCGACAGCTTTTCGGACATCAAGAAAAGAGATTTACTTTTTGGAACAAAGTAGGAGGAATTCTAAGATTCTAGACAGCAAAGCAACAGCGTCAGAGTGCTGCTGCTGCTGCTGCTGCTGCTGCACTAGTCGGCTGCCGCCCCGGCTGCTGAAGCAGAAATGTCTCAGCAGACCACTTCAAATGTGGGGGGGTAAACCAAGCATCAGTAGCAGCAGCCCCTTGTAGGGTCAGACTGCTGCTTTGCTTTGGTGACAGCGCAGCCCTTCAGGTGTACCCACAGCATTCATTACTGGTTCATCTGCAGCAAGCGGAGCGTTTCCATTTGTGCTTCTTTAGGCGGTTTCATCCTCACCAGCAGCTGCACTCGAGAACGTGCAGCAGCGGCAGGCGCCGCTTTTGCGACTGTTGCTGCTGCCTAGCGCAGCAACAGTTGCTGCCTGGCGTGCTCGTTCGACTCCGCGGAAGCCTCTTCAGCAGCAGCAGTAGCTTCTGCTGGAACTGCAGCAGAAGAGTCGTCTACTGTGGTGTAGGCCTCTGCCAGCAAGAACGCGATGCCGTGGAGGCAAACAATTTCTTCGGACCAGTCTACCTGGAGCAGCACCAGCAGCAGTAGCAGCAAACTACATCCGACCCCCGCTCAACCGAAACGGTGGCCGCAGGGAAGAGCAGTAAACTCGGCAGCACATCTGAGGCAGCAGCAGCAGGAAGAACTTCGACAGACCTCTGTGGCTAGCCGCAGCAGCAAGGACCCTAGCAGCAGAGGCGAAGGCAAATGGCGGCCGCAGCAGAGAGGCAGCCCCACTAGGCAGCCATCTCGTGTCAGCACGAGACCGAAGTAATCCGCCAGCAGCGCGCGGCGCTGCAGCAGCACTGCGCAGTGCTGTCGAGCCGTCTCCCGCTGCTGCTGCTGCTGCTGCTGCTGCTGCTGCTGCTGCTCTGGCTCGCCTTGGCACTGCTGCTCCCTCAGGGCAGCACAGAGAGCTGCTTCTAGCTTCGAGGGCACCTGCAGCCTGACTACGGGCAGCCTGCCTAGCCGCCGGAGAACAGACTGGTAGACACACTCTGCAAATGCACAAACCCTAAACCCTAGGCCCCGTAAGTGATAGGCTGCTTCCTTAAGTTAAGGCTGGTGCAGCAGCAAAAGGGTTTAGTACTTAAGGGCCAAGGGCTGCTACCTCTCGCCACGGCCGGGAGGTTCACGAGAAGAAGACTGTCTCCCTTCTGCAGCAACGCCATCTTGGAGTTGATTGCCCCCACGTATGTGCAGCCCTGCAGGGCCGTCGCGCTGTCTCGGTTGCTGCTGCTGCTGCTGCTGCTGCTGTCTGCGGCCTCCACTCCTGCTGCTGCTGCGCAGCGCTTCAGCAGCTGCCGGACGCTGCGAAGCCGCCCCGCGTCTGTCCGTCTGCTACTGCTGCTGCTGCAGGGGGCAACCCTGTCTAGAACATGTCCGCCATTTGCTCTCTCATCAAACAGCCGCAGCACTGACTGCGGCTGGATGCTTGCTTGCGTTGCTGCTGGTTCTGCAGCAGCAGGGCTCTGCTCTGGCTGCTGCTGCTTTTGCTGCTGCTGCTCGTGCTGCTGATGCTCTTGCTGCTGCTGCTCTTGCTGCTGATGCTCTTGCTGCTGTTGCTCTTGCTGCTGATGCTCTTGCTGCTGCTCCGGGTGTTGCGATGGTATGCCATCAGAACAGTCTTGCTCCAGCTGCTGCTGCTGCTGCTGCTGCTGCTCATCGGGCAGCTGCACTTGGTCTCCCGGACCTTCCTTCAATGGCGCAGCAGTCGTGGTGTTGCTGATGCTGCTGTACGGAATAAGCTGCTGCTCCTGCTGCCCCAGCTGCTGTGGCTTCTGCGAATGGAAGTTATGCTGCCAGAAGGCGCTCAGGGGAAGCTGTCGCGCGTCTGTCCTCGTCCGAGTGGGCTTCAAAGCAGGCTTGCTGCCGCTGCTGCTGCTGCTGCTTCCGCTGCTTCTGTGTTTATTCGTAGTATCTCCTTCGGCCTGCTCCTGCGTCTTACCGTCAGGAGACACGAGCACGAGGTGCTGCTGCTTTAGCTTAGATTCAGCAACGGCCGGCTCCTGCAACAGCAAGGCTTCTGAGGATGTTTGCCCGCTGAGCATCTCCTGCAGCAGCAGCAGCAGCAGCAGATAAAAGGTGTCAGCAGCAGAAATCCCATTGACGGCCAAACAAAGAACAGCAAACAACACAGCCTGGGCAGCACTGAGGCAGAACGGCTGTCGCGGATCTGCGCAGCAGCAGCCGCAGCAGCAAGGGCAGCCTCAGCAGCAGCCGCAACGGGAGCAGTAGTAGCAGCAGCAACAGCAGCAGCGCCGTACCATGAGGGCCTGAGCTATGGCCTCAGCAATGACTTCCTCGTGCAGAAAACGAACTTGGCTTTTGCTGGGATGCACATTAACATCTACCAGAGGAGAGGGCAGCTCTAGAGATAAATATACCCACGGCCTCTGGCCCTTCGGCATTAGCTGCCCGTATACCCCGTCGACGCAGCGCCTGCAGCAGCAGCAGTAGCAGCAGCAGTAGCAATTGAGGCAGCAGCAGCAACAGTAAGTGCGAAGACGCGCAGCAGCTGCCGTTGCAAGCACGACCTCACCTGTTGCTGCAGCAACACTGTTGCTGCTGCAGCAACACAGACAGACAGAGCAATGCGACAGCAGCTGCTGCTATGGCGCATGCCCCGCAGCGCCAGAACACCGTCACAGCATGTAAACGCAGGAGCAGCAAATGCTGCAGCATTAGCAAGTGCAGCAGCAGCGGCAAGTGCAGCAGCAGCGGCAGCAGCAGCAGCAGGACGGACTTGAGCGCAGGGCAGTCAACAAGCCTTGAGTTAATAAATAAGCAAAATGAGGCTTTCTTTTGTCCCCTGTTAGCTGCAGAAACAAGTCCTGACACTCGCCATTCGCCCTCATTAATATCTGTCAAATATAACTCGGCAGCAGCAGCTGCTGCTACTGCAGCAGCAGACGCACCCGCTGCTGCGAGCGTACCCGCTGCAGCAGCACCAGCACAGCCGTCAGCCGCAGCAGACAGCAGGGAGGCCAACTCGCGCAATAATGGACAAACACTTTCGCTGCTGCTGCTGCTGCTGCTGTCTCCGCTACTACTCTCTGCAGCAGCTTCTGCAACCGCTTCGCCTTCGCCTGCCGGCTGCTGCTGCTGGCAATCTTGCTGCTCCTGCTGCTCCTGCTGCTTCCCACTGCGAAGGAAGTTCAGAGCTGCTGCAGGAAGCCGCCCCTTGAGGTGTATGGGCAGCAAAGTGCTGCTGGTTGCTTCCCCATGAAGCTTTTCAATTACTCTGAGTCCTCCTCCCTGCAGCAGCGCAATACCCCGCAGCAGCCGCAGCTCTGCAGCAGTAGGCACTCTTTCTTTATCCTCTGTGCAGCAGCAGCTGCAGGTCAACTCGCCGCTGCTGCTGCTGCTGCTGTCGCCATCCTGCAGCTGCTGCTGCTTTTTGTGCTGCTGCAGCAGCTTTCTGGCCTCTGAAAGCCCAAATGCTGTTGTGTTGATGTCTGGCAGCTGCTGCTGCTGCCTCCGCATAACAAAAGCAACGTGGGGGTTGTTGAGGGCGTAGCGGCCAACGACCTGCAGGCATTTCAAGTACTCATCTGTTCCTGCTGCTGCTGCTGCTGCGCCTCCGCCGCCCCCCGCCACAGCAGACGAAAGAAAGGCCCGCCGACGCACAGGAAGGCAATAAAACAAATCTGTTGCTTTTATTGTTGTGCCCCGAGCTCTGGCGAGCGGCGTGGGGTCTTCAGCGAGGACTCCTGTGGTGTACGTACAGCTCAGCCCGTGGGGGGCCCCCCCCTCCTTCGTCGACACCGAAAGCTTCGAAACGAGAGAAAGTGCTGCTAGGGCCTCTCCCCTGAAGCCAAAGGACTGCAGGTGCTGCAGCTGCTGCAGCTGCTGCAGCTTGCTGGTGCAGTGCCGGGCGCACAGCAGCGGCAGGTCTGCTGCAGCAATCCCGCAGCCGTCGTCCGCCACCTGCAGCAGCCGCAGCCCGCCCCCCACGCAGTGTACAGACACCCGAAGGGCCCCCGCGTCCAAGCTGTTCTCCAGCAGCTCCTTCAGAGCAGCAGAAGGCCGCGTCACCACCTCTCCTGCTGCTATGCGCCGCACGACGTCATCCGGCAGCAAACGGATGCGGCCACCTGCTGCTGCTGCTGCTGCCTTTCTTGCTGCTCCGCGGGCTGCTGCGCCTGCAGCCGGCAGCGCACCGGCTAAGGAAGGACTCGAAAAGTCGGCAAATGAAGGCTGGCAGGATGAAGGCGGTCCACCCTCTCCCGTTGCTGCTGCTGCTGTTGCTGCTGCTGCTTCTGCTGCAGCAGCAGCGGGAGCAGATGCAGCTTGCGCTGCTGCAGCGTCCTCCTCAACTGCTGCTGCTTTAGACTCATTCGCCTTCGCTACTGCTTTCACTGAGTCGCGGGCTGCTGCTGCGTCCACTTCTGCTGCTGCTTCAACGATCTCGTCGGGGTCCCACATTGCGCTGCAGTCTGCTGCTCTTCCTGCTGCTGCCCAGCGTTTGCTGCTGCCGTCGCTGCAGTGGGGCCCCGTCAGCTGCAGCTCTCAGGCGCTGCCACGGCGAGTGCCGTTGGTGCTGTTGCTACTCTCGTTGCGGCGGCTGCAACTCCTTTGTCCTCATGTCTATTTTAGCCTTTTTAATGCGGCTTTTGTTTGGATATGGGGGGTATGCCCGGGCGGGGGGCCTCAGCTAGGCTGGGGGCCCCCTCGCCTTCGGCTGTTCCCTGCAGCCAACACCCCGCGCACCTCTTGACTTGTCTTTGTAGAAGTTGTGTTGCTTCAGTTTCTACAAAATGTCAAAATGTGCCAGTGCACCTTAAGGTGGGGTTGTTGTTATCAGCAAGTCTTGGGGGCCCCTTCTGCCGCCGCCCACGGCCCGTTGGGGCCCCCGTGGCAAGCCCCAAGAAAGGTCCTGCAGGGCCCGCTGCGCTATTTGTGTCACAACGTAATGATGTTTACAACATTAGAAGAAGCTACTTATCCAAAGAAGTATTGGGAGACCCGCCATCTGAAATATTACTCAGCCTGCTGCTGCAGCAGGAGCAGGAGCAGCAGCGTTCCAGCAGCAGCAGCGGCAGCAGCTTCGGCAGCAGCAGCTCCATCCTTCCCTGGGCCCTGCACATGCTGCTGCACCTCCTACCTTGTGGAGTTCCCCCATTATTAGTGACGGAGAGCTCTTAGAGGGGCACGAACGCCCGTAGCGGCAGCGGCTGCCGGAGCAGCAGCTAGCAACCCCAGCAACAGCAGCAGCAGCCGGAAGCAGCAGCAGGATGAATGGGTGCAGCAAGAGAGCTTCCTGCGCCGCTTTAAGGCCTTCTCTGTCTTTGATCCCGTATGGCCGACAGATTCGCCACTGGGAAGCAGCAGAAATACTCCGGCGCATGCGTACATCGGACAGCAGCAGCGGCCACAAACTGCACCCCTGCATGGACACTTGGTGGGCTGCCGTGCTGCTGCTGGGGGTTTCGCTCTTTCTGCCGCAGCATCAGCTGCAGCAGCAGCAGGTGATACTACTTCTGCGTCGCTGCTGCGCACTTGAAGTCTAGCGGCAACTGCGAAACCACTGTTGCTGCTGCTGCTGCTGCTGCTGCAGGAGTGCGCACTTGCAGTGCCTGCGTCGCTTCCCTCACTCTGCTGAGCGTCGCTGCCGGCTGTCAGAAGAGCAGCACCAAAGATGTCTCAAAGAAAATGGAAACTGGAGGCCCACGGACTCTCTGAAAGCCATGAAGATACTGGAGCTGTACGTGCATATGCTGCTGCTGCTGCCGCTGCTGCCGCAGGCGGTTCTAGGATGCGGTTTCTGCTCCAATCCTTGCATTTTTGATGCCCTCTGTGCTGGCTGCTGCTGCTGCTGTGGCTGCTGCTTCTGCTGCTGCTGCAGCTTTAAGGTGTACGCTGAAACAAAGAGCTTCAAATACCCAAAAGAAAACGTGGGCCTGTCAGCCGCAGGTAAGCAGCAGCATTTAAGGCCTTGCTTCTATCGCTTTACTGCAGCTTCTGCCGCTGCAGCTGCTGCTCTACCCAGGTCGTGCTGCTGCTGCTGCTGCTGTTGCTGCTGTTTGTCAGGGGCAGTTGTGCACTTTCCTGGGCTTGAGCGGCGGCGGTCTCGCAATAATTGATGCTTCTCTGCTGCTGCGGCTGCTCGCCTTGTTCTTAGTAGCTAGCTGGCTGGCTGCTAGCTGTGCTGCTGCTGCACTGCAATCAGCAGCACCTGCTGCTCCTTCTGATAGTGTGCTGCGTGACGACGGTGTGGCAATTGCTGTTGCTGACCCACGCCGCAAGCCTTGCAGGGAAATGAAGCAGCAGCAGCAGCAGCAGCAGAGGCAACGGCCTAGCTGGCTAGCAGCTAGCTAACGAACTAGCTGGCGAGGCAGCTACCTGTATCACTCTTGCCGCATAAGTGTCCAAACGGACATTCTAATGGGCCAGAAAGCCAGCTAGCTAGTTAGCTAGCTAGCCAGCTGGTTATCTGGCCAGCTAGCTAGCAAGCCAGCTAGCCACGCCTCGATCTAGCCATCTGCCCTAGCCTAAGCAAGAGCCATTCGGCGGCATTGCCCTTGCAGCGGCTTGTGCCCCTGCAGTTGCTGCTACAGCAGCTGCTGCTGCAGCGGCAGTTGCAGCACCCGCTGCTGCAGGTGCTTGCAGCAAGTAGACCTCTTCAGAGGACTTTGTTTTTTTAAGTCTGGTGCTGCAGAGAAGAAACTTGCAACCCTAAAGGGCAGCTACAGCTCCCCTAGGGTTTAGGGTTTAGGGTTTGATGCACAGAGCAAGGGGCCCCGGAATGGGTGCAAACCGCTGTTGCTGTTCCCAAAGCAGCAGTTACAACAGCAGCACCGGTAATGGCTGTCGCTTTTGCTGCTGCTGCTTACCAGGAGCACCCAGCCATGTCCATATCTATAGTCTTCTTCGTGTAGGCCTCGAAATGCCTGCGCACAGCAGCAGCAGCAGCAGCAGCAGCAACACACATGTCCACGGCATCTGCACGTGGCAGTGCCCGTGGCTGCTGCTTCCCCAGGTGCGCTGCTCCCAGCTAGCCGTAGCTAGCTTTTAGAGACTAAGGGTGGCTAGCTGCTGGTGGCCGGGGTTGGCTAGCTGCCAGCAGCTTGCCAACCCCCCTTTATCCTGCTGGCTTCTTGGATAGCTACTCATGGCTAGCTGTGGCTGGCTACCCATGGCTAGCCGTGGCTAGCTACCCACGGCTAGCCGTGCCGTGGCTAGCTACTCATGGCTAGCCGTGGCTAGCTACCCACAGCTAGCTGTGGCTGGTCACTCATAGCTACTTCTAGCTAGCTTCCCGTAGCTAGCTGCAGCTAGCTACCCATAGATAGCCGTGGCTACCTGTCATGGCTCGCTGTGGCTAGCTACTCATGGCTAGCTGTGGCTAGCTACTCATGGCTAGCTAGCTGCTCGAGAGCAGCCTCTGGGGCTGACCATTTGGAGTCAAGCTTTTTGGGTTCGTCGACTGTCACTCCCGAGGCCGTAACTTTAGCGAACTGCACCTGCAGCAGCAGCAAAGCAGCAGCAGCAAAACCAGCGAATTTTGCAGCAGGAGCAGAGCACCAGCAGCAGCAAGTGTGGAGCTAAAAACAGAAGGCAAATAGCTGCAGCAGCGAAAAGTACCTCGTTAGAGGCTGCGCAGTCTCTGTAGAACAAAATCCGCATGCACTCCTCAAGCAGCTCCCGCGCCTCCCTGCAGCAGCAGCAGCAGCAGCGGCAAAAGCGTTCTTTGGACAGGGGACTAGGCGGTGCTGCCAGCTACAGCAAAAGAACAACACCCACAGGAGAAGAGAATGAAGCAAAACCAGCAGCAGCAGCAGCAGCAGCAGCAAGTGCAGCTGACTCTTCAGACATGTCGGGGCGCTGCCTCTCTCTCATCAGAGTAATTGCAAAGTAACGCCCAAGACCTGCATAGCACGCAGCAGCAGCAGCAGCAGCAGCAGCAATTAAGCCAAGAAGGCATCAAAAGACCCCACGGATCAGCAGCCATCCAGCAGCAACGTGGTGCAGCGGCAGCACGGATAGGGGGTGCGCATGCAGCAGCAGAATGCGCAGCAGCTGCAGCAGCAGAAGCAGCAACAAGGGACCCTGCAGCAGCAGCAGCGGCAGCAAAGGTACCCGTGGCGACAACTTGCTCTTCGAAGAATGTGCCAAGCATATCTATGGCTCCCAAGTACATTTCGGAGCCCTGCTGCTGCTGTCCTTCCTGCTGCTGCTGCTGCTGCTGCTGCTGCTGCTGCTGCTCGTGAATGCCCTTGGGGCTGCCCATGTGTCCCGCGACGATAACGGATAGCCAGTAAGGATTGAATTTGCACCTTCTTTGATACATTGTCCTGGAGGTGTAGCTGGCAATGGCCTTGGGGCTGAGGGTGGTGCTGCTGCTGCTGCTGCTACTGCTGCTGCTGCAGTCCGCGTGGGCCGCGTCCTCGTCCACCAACTCTTGCAGCTCCCGCTCCAAAAACTGGTGGTCTGAGTATTCCCCAGAAGTGCAAATGAGGGTTTTGTTGTCGAGGTTCATGAATCGGGGTTGTCCGCGAAATCGCATCATGCGTCCGTAGGACACTAAGCGCACAAACCCTAAACCCTAAACCCCAAGCCGTAAACCCCAAACCCTAGCCCAAAACCCGCAGCCAGCTGCAGGCCCGCCCCAGCGCACAAACTGGCAAAGCTCCCTCTCACTCATTAAAGCCCTGCTGCTGCCACACAGGCGAAAGCTGAGTGTTAGTTACTCAAACCCTAAACCCTCAGCCCTTGCGCTGTGAGCTGCTGCACCTGCTGTGTCGGCCACCATGAGGACTCCGTCTCTGTACTTGAGGGCCAGAACAGATGAAGTGGTGGTTATGGGATTTCTGGTGTCTGCGGGAGGCGTAGCAGCACCTGCTGTTGCTGCTCCTGCTGCTGCTCCGGGCGTGCCGCCCTGCAGCGCCCCGGCCGCCGACATGCAGTCTATCGCGTACATATTTTGGTGGATGAGAAAGGGGGAAATAAATTTTTTTAAAAGCTCCTTTTCGTGATGGCGGTGAGCACCTGATGTCTCTGGAACTACGCCCCGACACACGCTGCTGCTGCTGTTGGTGCTACTGCAGACGCTGTTGCTGCCGCGGCGACTACAAACTCAGACAGAAAATGTGTTTACTTCGTTTCCTTATTGCTGCTGCTTACGGTCACAAACAAAACGCATGCAGACATATACCCCCAGCCAGCCCTTAGCTACATAGCAGCAGCGGCAGCAGCAACAGCAGCCGACAGCAGCAGCTGGTGTCGTTGAGGCGGACCGAGGGGCCCCGCAGGCAAACCGTCCGAAGGCTTCTATGTTTTAAACTAATTGACACGAGGCTATTTCTTTATTCATTATATGAAGAGTTGCATTCCAGAAGTTATTGGGGTGCTGTAGCATTGCTTCGCATGCAGCAGCAATGGCTGCCGCTGCTATTACTGCTGCAGTTGCTCGTTCAAGCCCTTAACTGAAGCCACAGCCACTAGGCTCTGCTCCCGTTGAGCTAGGGGAGCAGCTGTAATTACACTGCTTGTACATAGTGGTCTTGCTGCTGCTACAGTTTTGCTGCTGCTGCTGCTGGCGCCGCTGCTGCGCTTGCTGCTGCAAAGAACGGCCCAGAGGAGCTCATGGATTCAGCTTCCTGTTGCATTACACACAGCAATAGGCGTGCAGGTTCTTATGCACATTTGCTGCTGCCCAGCTGTGGCTGCCGCCAGCGCTCAGGAAGGAGTTGCTGCTTCTGCACTGGCAGCTGCAACTGTTGCTGCTGCGTAGGCACCATTGGCTGCTGCTACCGCGTTCTCTCCAGCTAGAGAGGCCGCTGCGGCTGCCGCTGCTACTGCTCAAGGCAGCAGCTTCTTGAGCTTCTGCTGTTCCTGCTGGTCTTAAGAGTTTCGGGGGGAGGTGCTGCTGCGGCTCAGAGCAGCAAAAAGCAATAATAGAAAACAAAATATAGTAGCACAAGATATTTACGAAGCACATAGAGCAGATGTGAGGGCAGCAAAGACAAGCTGGGCAGGCACAGGCACACGAAAGAGGCCTATTAGGCCCGCAGCAGCAACAGCAGCAGCTGCTCTGCAGCTGCAGTGCCTTAAGAAAAGAAGAATATATTGAGGAGACAGGCTACGGACAATGGCGCAAAGAGCGCAGGAAGCTGAGACGCTTCTGCCACTGGGAGGGCCTGCCGCAGCAGCAGCAGGTGCAGCAGCAGCAGCAGCGGGTGCTGCAGCAGCAGCCTCGCCTGATGATGCTGCAGAGAGGAACGAAGCGGAGTCTGAGGTGTACAGACAGCGCAAGGCACTCGACAGCAACTTCATGAAACACTTTTTGCCCCAACTTGCCGGGCAAGTTGTTGCTGCTGCTCGCACTGAGGGCGTTGCTGTTTCCTTAGCACTCGCGGCTTATGTGCTGCTGACTCTCCCGCCTGCTGCAGCAGCACCAGCAGCAGAGGCAGCAGCGCCGCCAGCGGACAGCACTAACCAAAAGCCACCAAAAGCAACAGCAATAGCAGCAGCAGCAGAAGCAGAAAAATGTATTAAGCCATTCCGCTTTTCCCTGACAGCTACACAAGCCCCCTCACACATGGAAGCAGAAGCAGCAGTTGCCGCTGCTGTTCGGCTGCTTCAGCAGCGATCTACGGACCCTGTTGCTGCTACATTAGCGCTGCAAGTTAGCTTTGAAGCATTGCTGCTCGATACAGTTGCTGCTGCTGCACTGCAGCAAATCCAGGAGGCTAGAGGCGTAGAGGATGCAGCAGCATTGGTGCGCGCTTGCTGCTGCTGTTGCTGCTGCTGCTGCTTTTGCCGCTGCTGCTGGTAACGTCCACAGCGCCGCCTTGCTGACAACAAAACAAGCGAGCCCCTCTGACGTAACAATGGTTTTGCCTCGGCTGCTGCTGCTGCTGCTTCTGCTGCTGCTGCTGCTGCTGCTGCTGCTTTTGCAGGTTGTGCATGCGGACCACAGCCAACTCCGTCGCACCGCTTTCGTCTGCCTGCTGCGGCAGCAGCTGCTGTCATACTGCGTTGCTGCTCTGCCTATGGTGGCTGCTGTAGCTATACCTGAGGAGGCCGCAGCAGCAGCAGCAGCTCGTGCCCCGTTGGAATCCGCAACACCAGCAGCAGCAGCAGCAGCAGAGAAGGCAGCAGCTGTGCGCCGGCTCGTAGAGCAGGCACTAGATGCGGCATTGCCCATTACCCGCATTCCTTGTCTCTATTCTCTTCCTCCAGATCTCAGGAGGCAGCACCTGGTGGAGCTTCGATGCATCGTCATTGCTTCTTTGCTGCTGCAGCAGCGCCGTGCAGCAGCAGCAGCGGCAGCAGCAGCCGCGGCAGCAAAGGCGTCCGCTGCAGCAGCTTTAGCAACAGCGTCCGCTGCTGCTAAAGCTAGAGCAAAAGCAGCAGCGGAGGCGAAGGCAGAAGCAGCAGCAAAAGCAGCAGCAATAGTCGAAAGCTTTGATTGGCTCGAGCCTCCAGACCAAGCTGCCGATGACTTTGCTGCTGAGCAGCAGCAGCTGCTGCTGCAGCAGGCTGTGAAGGGGCAAGACGCGCTACAGCGAGTTCGAAACATCTTCAGTATCACCAAATCGCAGAGGGAAGCTATTGGCAAGCCGCTAACCCTAAACCCGAAACCCTAAACCCTTTCTGCATAGCTCTAGGCTCTGCAGACTGCACTGCAACCCCCCGAGAGCCACAGCCTGACCACTGGTCCGCGGGTTTTCAAAAGGCCTGTGATTGCAAGCCACTGCTGCAGCAGCTAGGACTCGAGCTGCTGCTCGCCTGCTGCTGGCACTGCAGCAGCAGCTGCTCCAGAAGCGCTGCTTCTGCTTCCTGCTTGTAGAGCAGCCTGCTGCCGCTGCTGCTGTTGTGTTGCTGCTGCGCTGCTGTAGGCGTCGATGAAAAGCTGACTAAGTTCATTGCAACGGAAAGTGTATTTCATGTGCAGCAAATTCGCTTTCTACGGGCGCTGTTGGTGCAGCAGCAGCAGCAACATTCAGCAGCAGCAGCTCAAGCAGCAGTGTGCTTACAGGAACTTGCCTCGGTGGAGAGCTACTTGAAGGAGCACAAAGGGAAGGCCCCTCCAGAAGTGGTTTACAGCCACCTTGCTGCTGCAGGTGCTGCTTATCTTGGAATATACAAGGAGCAGCAAGGGCTGCTGCAGCTTTCCGCGTTGCGACTGCTGCTGCAGAAGCATGCAGAAGCACTCCAGGCCCCAGACATCACAAAAGTCGATGCTGCGGCTCTTAGGCTGCGGCGCAGGGCCCCGCCAGAGAAGCTAGATGAGCCCCTTCCGTACAATCCACCCAGCAGCAGCAGCAGCAGCAGCATGAGAGTTCTGACTGCAGCAGACGCGAAGATGCAGCAGCCTGCAGAGCTGGGAGGCTATTGCCTCCAAACCCTGCTGAAGGAGGGGGCGCTTGTATCCGGCGACATTCATGCAGGTGGTGCTGCTGTTTTCGTTGCTGTTGCTGTTGTTGCTGCTGTTGCAGCTGCTGTTGTTGCTGCTACTGCTCACGCTCTAAATGAGCGCAGTGCTGCTGCTGCTACATCCATTGCCTTACTTTCTGCAGGTGCTTCCATTCACCGACCTGCGAAGGGCCCTTACAGCAGCGGAAGCCTGACAAGTCGTTGGTTCTGCTGCATTTGCTGCTTTTGCTGCTTATGCTGCTGCTGCTGCTCTTGCTTACTACTGACGCCGCTGTCGATGTTGCTGTTAGTGCCCCTGTTGCTGCTGTTGCTGCTGCTGTGTTGTTGCTGTGAATGTTTTTGCTGTTGCAGGTGGGATTGAGCTCAATGGGGAGATCTACCTCTTCAGCAGTCGACGCCGCCTCCGCGAGTTCCTTGAGCAGCAGCGGCAGCTGCAGCAGCAACAGCCGCAAGTCCAGCAGCATGAGCTGTTGTTGCAGCAGCTTACTGACGTAATCCGGCATAATCCAGCCCTCATATTTGCATTGGGATTGGAGAAACGCTTCCCAGAGTAAACGGCATCTATTGCTGCGGCTTTATTTCTGCTGCTGCTGCTGCTGCTGCTGCTGCGATTCAGTTCCGACGCACACTTAGCAAAAGGTTTCCCACACGTGTACGCAGCTGCTTCTAGAACGTCTGCTGAACTCTTTGCTGCTGCTGAGGCTGCTGCTGCCCCGTTTTCTGCTGCTGCGGGCGACGCAGACCCAATTTGAAGGCACTTCTGGCGTGGGCGTATCACAAAGAGCTGCAGGAGCTGCAAGCGCGGCTGCAACAGCGACAGACACAGGAGGGGCAGCAGCAGGAGCAGCAGCAGCAGGAGCAGCAACTGTGGGAGGCTGACTGGGAGTATAGGCCTGAGCTGTATGTGCGGATAAGCGAGGGCAAGGCAGCAGATGCAGCAGTAGACACCGCCGACTTGCTGCAGCTGACTGCAGAGCTTCGCAGCAGCAAGAGCAGCAGCAGCAGCTACAGCTACAGCGAGTGGGAGCTGCGGCGCCGCGTGCTGCAGCAAGTGCGACTCTGTGCATGCGCCTCCAGAAGCATGCAAACGCTGCTGTCTACTTTCAAAAGAGATGCTGAGAGCCAAACTATAGAGAAAAAAGAAACTGCAACAAACACAGCTGTTGCTGTAGCAACTGGGGGGCCCCACAGCAGCCGCAGCTTCGTGGGTCTTCGGGGTGCTGACGCTACGGCGAATAAGCCCCTAAGGGAAGTTGTGCTCCGAGTTACCTTCTGACGCTGCAGCAGCGGCAGCAGCAGCAGTAGCAGCAATCTACGCAACAGCTGCAGCAGGTTGGGCGAATGCTGCTGCAGCAGTGCCAACCGCAGAACCTTCGCAGCCACGCAGCCTTAGCAGCAGCTAATTAAATGCAGCAGAATCCCAGCAAGCACACCCGCAGCCGCAGAACAAAAATAACATTTGCTGCTGCAGCGCGTGCGCAGGGGGAGATGTCCCATTAGAAGTCTTGGCTGTTTGTCTCTTTTTGACTCTGTTGCTTCCGCTTGTCTATTTTTGTCCTTCTCTGTTTGTTTCCGCTTGCTGCCGCTGGCTCTAGCTCTCCCGGGAGCAGCTGAAGAGACTGCAGCAGCAGCGGGCAGAACTTAAAAAGCATTTAGATATCTCAGTTGTCTATCCCTCGGCAGCAGCAGCAACAGCAGCCGAAGGCACCGCTGCTGCAGCTGCTGCTGCAGCAGCTGCTGCAACAGCGGCTGCAGCAGCTGCTGCATACATTTTCAAGCCCCTGGTAGGGACTCTCTAAGCAAGCAAATTAAGCAAATTAAGAAGCGTGAGTAATCACTGGGCTCACGCTTCTTTTGCGCGGTTCCCCCGCTTCGCGACTGCTGCTGCTGCTAGTGCAGGTACTGCTGGTGTTGCTGCTGGTGTTGCTGCTGCTGCTACTGCTACCTGGTGCCTCCTCAGACACTAGTGCCTGGTAGGCTCTGGGCTTCCGTACGCGCATGCACGCGCGGTGCAGCCACTTACGGGCTGCGGGGCGCAGCAGCAGGGGCGCTAAAGGCAGCAGCAGCAGGAGCAGCAGCAGCACGAGCTGCAGCAGCCGCTGCAGCAGCGTTGGGGGCCGCAGCACGTGTGGCACTTTGTCTGTTAGTAATCTCCACCTGTCTTCACTTTCTGCTTCTGAGAAAGAAATTGTCTCCGTCAGCAGCACATTGCCAGTTTCTGCGTCTCTTGACGACAGCACAGCCTCTGCGACGGACCCTAAGCGCAGCAGCAGCAGCAGCAGCAGGAAGCATGCCAGTGCTGCAGCGTTGGGGCAAGAAGGGCAAGACCAGCAGCAAGAGCAGCACTAGAAAAGCCGCGCATGCAACTAACCAGTTGTTGAAAAGTATTTGAAATCCACAAGACCAAAATTTCTGTTCAAGGAAAAAGCTTCTGGCCGCAGCCTTGAGGTGTATATCCACCTCAGCAACGGCAGCATCAGCAGCCGCGCCCACCAAGACTCCCCGATGCTGTGGGTCATTCCGCTGCTTGTCAGCTCAACAACACCGTCCTGCAGCAGCAGCAGGAGCAGCGGCAGCGGCACACTGGTCCCGCAGCAGAGAGGCCTCCATGCAGCCCAATGCATGCAAGAGGGGCCCCCAAGCCCCCGAAGACCCTGCGGGGGCAGCCCGTGCATGCATTTTGGCTGCACGGGGAATTTGAGCAGGACACCAGGTGCTCTTGCTGCTGCTGCTGCTGCTGCTGGGTTTAGGGTTCCGAACTCGCCTTTAGTCCCAGCAACTCCGTGAAATGCACATCTCCCGACAAAAAGAAAAGACCTTTTGGTTTTGTTTGTTGCAAAAGTTTGAAAAGTCTTCGGCGAGAAGCGGGGAAGTGGCCCCAGCTCTCCACCACAGGCAGCCCCGTCAAAACCTGAAGCAAAACAAAACAACAAAACAAAACAACAGAACCCTAAACCCTAAACCCTAAAGACAAACCGTAAGTAACCCGCCAGGCCCCACGGCCCCCACGAAACACGCAGGGCGCCTCGCCACGAAAAACGCAAGGGTTTCGGGTTTAGGGTTTAGGGTTTAGACGCGCCTGAACAGAAGATACCACAATGTGGGCTTCTGCGCGAGAGTGCTTCAGCTGAGCCTCCAGCCACGCCCACTGCTCCTCTCCCAGCACGTCGCCTTCGTAGGCCCACCCCAGCCTGCGCAAACCCTACACCCTAAACCCTAAGCCCTAAACCCTAAACGCTAAACCCCAAGCCCTAAACCCTAAGCTGTACACCCTAAACCCTAGATCCTAAGCCATAAACCTTTAACCCTAAAGGCCAAACCCGCCTCTGGACCCCCCAAGGAGGCATTCGAGAGGGTGTGAGGCGGCTTTAAAGGATGCAGCAGCAAAGAGTGTAGAGCGTAAACCCCTTTTGAGGGTTTGCTGCTTGGGGCAAACTCACCCCAAAAGGTGCAGCAAAAATCTGCTGCCAGCCCCCGCCAAAGACAGCAGCTGCGACAGCGGCGGCTGCAGCGACCACATGGCTGCACTGGGCAAGTAGTGCATGTCCCGCTCGCTGCGCGTGTCCAGCAGCAGCACACGCACGCCCTCCCGCTGCTGCTGCTGCTGCTGCTGCTGCCGCTGCTGCTGCTGTTGCTGCTGCTGCTGCTGTTGCTGCTGCTGCTGCTGTTGCTGCTGCTGCTCCTGCTGTTGTTGTTGCTGCTGCTGCTGTGGCTGCTGCTGCTGCTGCTGCTGTTCCTGCTGCTGCTGCTGCTGCTGCGGTTCCTGCTGCTCTTGAGGCCCCTGCTGCTGCTCGGGCAGAGGAAACAGGTGGGAAGAGTAAAGCCCGTTTCTCTTTCTTCTGGGGCTGTGGGGCCCCACACCCAAAAAGTCAAGAAAGACCTGAAGCAGCTGCTGCTTGTTTTTCTGGTTTTTACCCCCGTCATTCATTCCTGCGCAGAGTCCCAAACCCTAGGGCCAATTCTAAACCACAAACCCTAATTCGCAGCCGCCCCGGACCCCAGGGTTTAGGGTTTAGGGTTTAGGGTTTGGGGTTTAGGGTTACCGAAGTCGTGGTCATCCCATGTGCCATCATAGAAACGAAGACTTTCTCTAAACAACTTCAGGGAGGCAGTTTCCAGCAGAGAGGAAAGAGAAGCGCGCACTGAGGCCACGTCAAAGCCCTCTGCAGCAGCAGCAGCAGCAACAGAAGCAGCAGCAAGGCGCAGGCTCATCTTGTTGCCTTTATACACGCAAAGTCGCCAGAGGCAAGAGACTCTGCTGAGGCTGAAGCAACAGCTGCGGCAGCACCAACAACTGCAGCAGCAGCAAGCCCGTAAAAGCAGACCCAGAATCAGGAACGGCGCCTTCAGTAGCAGATGCAGCAGGAAACTCAGCAGCAGCAGCAGCAGCAACAGGAGCAGCAACAGCGGGAACAGCAGCAGCCCCAACAGCAGCAGCAGCAAACCTGCGTATCCTGCGTCGCCAACCCAGAGCCATCCTTCTGGGTGTGTTGCTCGGATGGTCTCGAAGACTTTCTGCCGTCTGGCAGCAGCCAGAGCAGCAGCTGCTTGTGCTGCTGCTGTTGCTGCTCCCGATTCTGCTGCTGCCTCCCACTCGTGCCTTTGCCGAAAGCAAGACCCGAAGGCCAAGCGATGCAGGGGGAAGTCGTAAACAGCATCTGCAGCAGCCAGCTCTCGCTCCGCAGCATCGGCGGCACCGACGGCAGCAGCAGCAGCAGCAGCAGTAGCGTCTACTACAGCACGGTTTGCTGCTGGCGCCGGGATACTGATGGTATCTTTTGCTGCTCGGCTACTTACAGCAGCAGCAAGACACACTAGCAGAACCCCGACAGCGGCCAGGGCAGTCCCCTGCCGCCGACGTTCCCAACTCATGATTCGCCAGCAAAGGCAGCAGCAGCAGCTGCTGCTGCTGCTGTTTACAGTAATCTCTTCAAAGGTAGATTTGCACGTGCTGCTGCTGCTGCGCCTTTTGTTTCTGCATGTGCGGCTGCTGCTCCAACTTTGGGCGTCGCTTGCAGACCGAGCAGCTGCGCTGCTGCTGGTCAGGGATGCAACTCCTGCTGCACGGATGCAGCAAAGAGTAGCTGCTGCTGCATTAAAAGAAAAATTATTTTATTACATGGAATTAACATTTTGGGAGTGTGTGGCAACTTGAGCGATCATCCAGTGCTTGGGGTGGAGGCCTTGCTGCAGCAGCACGAATGAGCAGCAGCAGCTACCACTGCCGCCTCAGCAGCAGCCTCTCCTGCTTCACGTGCTGCTGCTCGCAGTGTTGCTCCGTCACATGCTATTCCTTGTATTGTCATTTGTGATTGTCTGATTTCTTTTTTGTCTTTGAGGAGACGTGGAGGCTTACAGGTTACTTTTGATGCCGTTTCTCTTCTTCTGCTGACTTGTTGCGTCGCCGGACAGGTGATCATATGCAGCAACGCCGTGCTGCTGCTTCCTGTGGACAACCCGCACCAGCTGCCTTCCCTGTTGGCAGACGCAGGACTAATATTAGAGCCAACGGAAGCGTTTGATGCTGCAGCGAACAACTGAGTGCAACTCTGCCACGCAGCAGCAGCTGCGGCCGTTCTCTTGGGGTCACCTGGGCGGCGTTTCACCTGTCGCTGCAGTTGCAGCAGCAACAGCAATAGCAGTTTCAGCAACAGCAAACGCTGCACTGACTGCAGCGGGAGGACAAACTGAACAACGGCGACGGCAGCAGGAGCGGCGGCGGCAGCAGCAGCAACCACTGCAGCAGCTGACTTGAGTGTCAGTGACAGCAGCATATCATTCTTGGTGCGCGTGCGCGTCTTGCACGAGATGGAACGCCGGCATTGCATGTCGTTGCCGCTGCGGCAGCTGCTGCTGCTGCTTTTCGCAGCCGCGCTGCTGCTGTGCTGCCCCACACCAGCAGCAGCAGAGGGGAACTGCACGGCAGAAGACATCAAGATTATTTGGATGCCTTATGTCCCTCCGCCGCAGCCGCAGCTGCCGCTAGCGCTGCCGCTGCCGGTGCAGCCGCAGCAGAAGCGGCAGCAGCAGCTGCAAGGCACAGCCAGCGCCTTCGAGACCATCCAGCACCTGGCAGCCGAAGCAGCAGCAGCTGCTGCCAGGGCGCACGAAGCGGTAACAGCAGCAACGAGCGCAGCTTCCGCTGTTGTTGCTGCTGAGGTTTCTGATGCATCTGCTGCAGGCGCTGCTGGCAGCAGCAGCAGCGACAGCAGCAGCCTGCGAGACTCGATGGAGTCTGCTGTGTCTTTCGGCGGCCGGGCGGCCCGCGAGGCGGCGCACGCGGCCCAGTATGCGGGTGCAGCAGCAGCAGCAGCGGCGGCAGCAGCAGTGGCAGCGGCCGCAGTGGCCGCAGCAGCAGCAACGGACTCGCAGACGCAGCAGCAACCCCCTGCAGCAGCAGCAGCAGCCCTCCCCCTACCCAGTAGCCGCCGCGCCGGCCCACACCCGTCTTCGCATTTTTTTAGAATTTTGGATGAGTGCGGGCGCAGGTCTTTGGGGGATGCAGAGAAGACCACCAACTGCGTGCTGCTGCAGGTGCAGCAGCAAATGCAGAAAAACATTTCCAGGGCCTGCGTCAGCTGCTTCGGGGTGGCCACGGCTTGTGCTGCTTCCGTCTGCCGCAGGTCCTGTTTCATCAACACTTGCTCAGAGCGGTGCATCGATGTGAGTCGCAGGCTGCTGCTGCTGCTGCTGCTGCTGCAGTGCTCCTCCCTGACGTAGGCGCTGTTTCTGTGCTGCTGCGGTCAGTGCAGTGGTGAACGCCGGCGCTGCTGTCGTTGCTGCTGAAAATAGTCATATGGCTGGGGCTGTCGTTTTTGCTGCTGCTTCTGCTGCTGCTGCTGCTGCTGCCGCCGCGGGACCCCTGGAAATGTCCCCATTTTTGCGTATCTTGTGACTTTCTGCTGCTGCTGCTGCAGTGCAACACGAAGAACTGCGCGCAGCCGCTGCTGCAGTGCGCTGGCTGCCGCCAAGAGGCTCTGCCGGTGCCGTGCGAAGATTGAAGCAGGATTGTTTTTTTAAAGTTTTGTGTCTCCTGTCTCATTTAATTTGCTTCTTATATCCCCTCTGTTGTGTCTTCATGGGAAAAGGTGAGTGTCATTTGCTGCTGACGCAGCTCTCCTTATCAACTGCTGCTGCTGCTGGCGCTACTGCAGCAGCAGCAGTCGTGGACCTCTTGCTTCACCAGCATACACTGCGACTATTTTCTCCTGCTACTGCAACAACAGCAGCAGCAGCAACTCGACTATGTTTTCACATCCAGCAGCAGCAGCACACCAAGAACAGCAGCAGCAGCCGCTGCAGCACCGCCAACACAAGCAGCAGTTCTTGCTGCGCGGCTTGGCCTTGTTCTTCTAGCTGCTGCGTCAGCAGCAATTCCGCTGCTGCAGGTGGTGTAGTACCAGAGTGGCGAGGAGCAGCAGCAGCAGCAGGGACTGCATCTACTGCGAAAGCAGCAGCTGCTGCCTATGCACTCATGCTTCGACTGCAGCAGCTGCTGCCTACGCACTCATGCTTCAACTGCAGCAGCTGCTGCAGTTGCAGCAGCTGCTGCAACTGAAGCAGCAGCAGCTTCGTTTGACTTTATTCAAGTGGTGTAGCCGCAGCGGCACCACGACCTCTATGCTGCCGAATTTACAGCAGCAACACCAGCAGGCCCGGAAGCAGCAATAGCAGCAGCACCTGCCAGCAGCAGCTGCAGCAACTGCAGCAGTTGCAACCCCAACAGCAACCGAAAAAAAGCAGCAGTATATCAGGTGGCGAGCTGTTTGCTGTAAAAAAGCTCTGCAGCTTGCGCATGCATTCTTGCAGCCGTGTTTGCTTTTGCTGCTGTTGCTGCTACTGCTGCTGAGCGGGCAGCTGCTGCCACTGCTGAGCCAGCAGCAGCTGCTGCTGCTGCTGAGCACTTGCTGCGGGCCGCGGTGGCAGCAGCAAACGGGTTTGCGGCTGCGGGCGCCAGATTGGACTTCAGCCCTTCAATTTTGTTCTACATTTATCACTGACCGTATGCAGTAGCTGCTGCCACTACACTAGCAGCAGCAGCAGCAGCCTCCTGCTGCTCCTGCTGCTTGAGGGCTTGCTGCTGCTAGCATGCAGTTAGTACTTCCGCTTTTGTGCGGTGTCAAGTCTTATTTCTTTTGCTGCTTCTGCGAGTCCTGAGAGCTAGGGCCTGAGGCCTTCACCTAGCCTAGAGTGGCCCATACAGGGCTGCAGTGCTGCTACCTGTCAGCAGCAGCAGCAGCGAGCAGCAGCAGCAGCAGGCAGCAGCAGGAAGTCAGCCCGTCCAAGAAGCAGGAGATGCCTTTGCTGGCCGCCAGCTAGCTACCAGCTAGCTACCAGCTAGCCACCAGCTAGCTACTAGCTAGCTAGTGGCTTGCCACAAGCCAGGAAGTTACAAAATCCCTGCAGGCTTAAACTTTTCGGGGTGGTTTCCTTGAAGATCTGCTGCAGTGAACTGCAGCAGCAGCTGCAGTTCACTGCAGCAGCAGCAGCTGCTGGTGCTACTGCTGCTGCAGAAGCTGCTACGGTGGAGTTTGCAGCGGGCACAGTTATGGGCCCCTTCATTCCTGCGCCATGCTGCTGCTGCTGCTGCTGCTGCCCCTCTCTAGGAAAGGAAAGACTCCTCGCCTCTTTCGCATGCAGCAAGAGGCGAGCAGCGACTCCATACAGCGGCTGGTCGTCTGCAGCAGCAGCGCAGCACAAGCCTCAGCGTCAGTGAGGGTGTCCCAGCTCAAGTTTATCTCTCTCACAGCTTCTGATGGGCCGTCTGCTTCTGCTCCAGCAGCAGCAGCAGCAGCAGCAGCAGCGGGCACTGGTGCTGTTGTTTCGCTGTCTGCAGCTGACGACGACACGGCAGTGCCAAACAAAGCGGGCCACACTGCAGGCCAAGCAGGCTCTGTGTCCTGCCAATCTGCTGCTGGGGCTTTTGCTCTTGCTGCTGCTTGCGTTGCTGCTGCTGGTGCTCGAGCATCTGCTGGTGCAGGTGACCCTGCACCAGATCGAGCAGCCGCGGCTGCAGCATCCCCACTAGGCTGCCACGGCCAGATCATACTCTTCAAAATAGTTTGGAGGCAGCAGGCTGTTAGAGTGCAGGGCGAAGGCCCAGATTGCTGCTGTTGCTGCTACTGCTGCTGCTGGACAGCTGTCGCCGTTGCTGTTCTCTCAGCCCGTAGAGTTGCTGTTGGGAAACTTCCCGAAACGCCCGGGTCATTTGAAACGAAATAGCATTCAGAAACCTGAATATGAGGAAAATAAGGCATCAGGGGAAGCAGCAGCTGCTGGAAGAGCATCGGCAGCAGCCAGCAATCGACCACTGGTCTACTACCTCTGCGGCTGCTGCTGCTGGCTCGTCAGAAGCTGCTAGAAGTGCAGGCCCCTAATCTGTGAGCCCATCTGGTATTTAATGAGGTTTTATTTCAAGTTTTTGACTCATCATTTCGTATTTAAAGGTACGCACAGGCCTTCGTTGGCGGTGCTGCCCTCGGGATAACCACGGCGGCGCAGCAGCAGAAGCAGCAACAACGGCACGAGCAGCAACAGCAACAAAGGATTCCTTAAAAAGGTAAACAACGCACCATAATAAAGCGTAGCAGCTACACCAGTGTGCTGCTACGAAGCTTGAGACATCTGCAGCAGCAGCAGCAGCAGCAAACGGCGAGGAGACCATGTGGATGTTGCCCTCCACGCCGCGTGCGGCGCGCGAGCAGCAGCAGCAGCAGCAACAGCAGCGGCAGCAGCAGGAGCAGGAGCAGAAGGAAAAATTGGAGGATCTGCTGCAGCAGCAGGAGCTGCGCCAAGAAGAGCAGCAACGACAACGGCAGCGGTTGCAGGAGCTGTACCAGCAGCAACAGGAGCTCCAGCAGGGGCTACAGCACTCGGGAATTGAACCCCTTGAGAAGGATCCCAGCCCAGTAGCTAGAGAAGAGAAGCCGCAAGGCAGCAGCAGCAGCAGTAGCGGCAGCGGCGGCAGCAGCAGCAGTAGGAGATCGCTCTTGGGGCGATGCTTAGACGCATCAGTTGCTGCCATTGTGTCAGTGCAGCAGCAAATGCTCTCTCTCTTCAGGTCAATTGGCTCTCTAGCAACAGATTGCTCAACGAGCAGCTGCTGCATGGACAGGAGAGCAGCAGCAGACAGGGAAGGCAGCAAGAGCAGCAGCAGCACCAGCAGCACTAATGACAACACGCAGCAGCAGGCCCCAACAGACCCCGAAGGCTTCTGCAGCACTACAGAAGATGAGGCTCAGCTGACATCGAGTGCAGCTTCCACTCCAGCCGCAGCGGCAGCTGCTGCAGCAGCAGATCCTAAAGCTGCAGCAGCAACAAACGCAGGAGGAGAACAGCAAAAAGGCCTTCAGCAGCCGCTGCACCCTCACATTGAAGCAGATGCCTACCAGCCAGGGCCCTTCTAATCTGCTGCAGTGCCAGAAGCAGTAGCAATAGAAGCAACGGTAACAGCCGCGGCGAGAGTCGGCAAGCTCAGTGGTAGCAGTAGCAGCTGCTGCTGCTGCACAGCAGCAGCACTTGCTGTTGCTGCTGCTGCACGGCAGTAGCACTTATTGTTGTGCTCCTGCGCCGCAGCAGCGGCACTTGTTGCTGCTGCTGCACAGCAGCAGCAGCACTTGTTGTTGATGCTGCTGCACAGTTGCAGCACTTGTTGCTGCTGCTGCTGAAGCGGCAGCAGCCCCTGCTGCTGTTGCTGCTGAAGCGGCAGCCCGTGCTGCGGTGCCAATTCGCAGCTCCTTTTTGTGTGGCGGCCTTTTGGCCCCGCGAGATTTGCTGCTGACAATTTTTGCGAAGTAAAATATTTCTGGAGTTTTTGCACTGAGGCCTTTCAAGGCCAAAACTTTGGCTTTATTTACTCAAGGCCATATATATATATATAATATATATGATGCATATAAATATACATGATTATGTCTATATAGTACATATATATACAATAGCTAGACATCATATATATTACATAAATATATACATATGTATATACATATTATATATAATGTATATAGATAATTACATGCATATATATATACATCTATACATGTATGTGTATATACGTATATCAATATATTTAAGGCTTATGGACCAGGCCCTACACTTTTAGGCTTCTTCTAGGACTCTGCCTCAGGTTATAAATGTGAAACTTTATAAATGCCAAACTTTCTGTATAAAACTATATATGCCAAAGTTTCTGTATAAGACTATAAGTGCCAAAGTTTCTGTATAAGACTATAAATGCCTAACTTTCTGTATATTCATATAAATATCATGTATGTGCAACTGGAGAATATAAGTATATATATCCTATATAAAGACTAAAAATGCCTGACTTTTTGTATATTCATGTAAATATCATATATGTACAATTGGATAAATATTTATATTCTATATGAAGACTAAAAATGCTGAACTTCCTGTATAAGACTATAAATGCCTAACTTTCTGTGTATTCATATAACATATGTGCATTGGAAAATGTAGATGTATATATCCCTTATAAAGACTAAAAATGTCTAACGTTTTGTATAAGACTATAAATGCTTAAATTTCTGCCTAAGGTGATGCCTGGGGCTGTACAGATTGAAGGCGCCCCTTGAGGCTAAAGTTTAGGCTATACCTGGAGATATATTTAATATATATATATATACATATATATTTTGCTTTATATATATATAATATATATATAAAGTAAAATATATATGTATATATACATATATATTATATGTATATATGGCTACAAACATTTAAGTCTACATATACCAAAGTCTATACGTAACTTAGTGCGTATATACCCAAGTCTAGATATAAGTAAGACTATCCATAGCGAAGCCTATATATAACATACTTAGGTCTCTATATATCCCTCAGGCTATCTATACCTAAGGCTATATATGTCCTAGTAAATATACACCTAAGTACTCATATACCTAAGGCTTTATATAAGTGTATACACGAAGTCATCCTAAGTCTGTCTATACCTAACGCTGTATAAATACCATACGTGAATATATACCATATATGTAATGTATAAGGCTACATATACCATATATGTATATTTACCATATATGTAATGTATAAGGCTATATATACCATACAACGTATATATATATCTATGTATATATATATATATATATATATATATATATATATATATATATATATATAGTGCATAAGGTTATATATACCGACTATATATATATATACACCATGTATGTAATGCGTAAGGTTATATATACCATACATGTATATATACCATGTGTAATGTGTAAGGCTATATATACCATATATGTATATATACCATATTGTGTAATGTATAAGGTTATATATACCATATATCCATATATGTAATGTATAAGACCATACATACTTAAGTCTCTAGATGTCAGTCTCCATATACCCAAGGCTACACATACCAAAGGCAATCTATTTCTAACACTCCCACAAACCTAAGACAATCTATTTCTAAGTCTGTATATAGCCAGGACAATCTATTCTTAAGTCTCTACATAACTAATACTAGGGCTGTACATCCTTAAGACTATATACACAAGACGAAGTCTACATATACTTTAGACTGTCTATAGTCCAAAGTCTCTATATGACTAATACTAGGGCTATATATACTTAAGACTATCTATATGCATACGTCTAAGTCTACATATATGTAAGACTATCTATATTACCAAAGTCTATATACATCTAGGACGTCTAGGACTATAAACTCACCAAAGTCTATAAACACCTAAGTTTATATACACCTGAAGCTGCTGCTTTCTCCGCAGCAAGTGCCGCTTGAGAAACCCCAGGGGCTTCTGGATGGCTGGGTGTTTTGTGCAGTTTCCTGTGTGTGCGAGCTGCTGCTTAAACCCTAAACCCTAAACCCTAAACCCTAAACCCTGGACTCTACATGCCTAAGAAACAGCACAAACTGGCAAATTAGAAAGGAACTGACTGGGGATGCAAAACAGCTAATACAACAGGAAGGTGCGAAGAGAAATGCAGGCCTAAGAGCTGCTGGACTTCTTGCTGCTTCAGCTGCTGCTGCTGCTTATGCTGCTGCAGCTGCTGCCGCGTCGCCGGGCCCTTAAAATCTCTACAGCTTTTGCTGCCAGTTCGGGGCGATGCGACACCCCAAAGAAACTGAACACGTCTGTGGGCCTCTGGAATGTAGCTGCTGCAGCGGCTGCAGCAGCAGCTGGTTCTCGTGCTGCTGCTCTCGTTGCTGCTCTTGCCACGGACGCAGCAGCAGCAGCAGCAGCATGCACAGGGAAACTGTGCGAACCCAACACGCCAGGCAGCCCGTTGGGCATCTCTAGCAGTACACATCACATAAACAGCATTAGTCTTTGCAACTGCAGCAGCTGCAGTCCGGCACCGCAGCAGCTGCAGCAGCTGCTGCTGCTGCCAGTGCTGCAGGGGGCTCTTAAATGGAATAGCGAGTTTCCTAGTTACAAGCTATCGCGCCTATCAGCTGCTGTTCGTGCCGCCTTCTTGTCTATACTTTATTTGTTCCGGTCTATCTGGGGCCGCTGCTGCTGCTGCTGCTGCAGCTGCTGCTCCCCATTCCTTTTGCTGCTGCAGCAAGGGCTAGCCACTTCATAACTCTATTTGGTCTTCGCCTCCATCTCCCCATTCTGCCCCTCCCAGGCGCTTGGCGTCACCGTGCAGCCGCTGCTGCTGCTCATGCAGCAGCTGCTTCTCGTGCAGCTGCTCCCGGAACTGCTGCTGCTGCTGCTCCTCCGTGTGCCCCGGCATGTAAGTGCCGCTGCTGCCCGCGGTGGACGCGTCCTTCGCCAGCCCCGGGCTGCTGAAGGGATTTGCTGCTGCTGCAAAAGGATTGGACATCTGCTGCTCGTGCTGCTGCAGATGCTCCGGGTGGGGAGAAAGCGAAGAGTTGTAGCCTAAAGGAGAGGAGAACTCCTGCTGCTCGAGCAGCTGCTGCTGCTGCGGTTTGACTGAATCGCTCAGCTGGTGCGGCGGGGAAAGGCCCTGCTGCAGCTGCTGCTGTTGCTGCGGCTGCTTCCACCCGTCGGGCGACAGAGAAGATAGCGCATCTCCTACACTTGTGGGCGACGGGCCCCCAGCTGCTGCTGCAGAGCCCCACAAACACAAACCCCACCACTGAGGGTTTAGGGCTGGGCTGCTGAGCCAACCCGCAGCAGGGCCAGCAGCAGCAGCAGCATAGTCAGCAGCAGCAGCAGCAGCAAAGCAGCAGCAGAAAGACGCACCCGTCATAGGCGTCCCTGACAGAGGCTCCGTCACGTCGCCGTTGACACGCGCTGAGGAAAACACCCTGACTCACAAATGGGTGAATTAAAAGCAGCAACGCCAGCAGCAGCAGCAGCAGCAGCGAAGCAGCAGCAGAACCAAGCGTGAACTGGCGGGCAAACACATGAGCAGCGGCGGCCATATGAGCAGCAACAGTAGCAGCTGCAACAGCAAGAAAGAGCACGATGAGCGGCAGCCACAGCCCACCGACAGCAGCACCAACAAGCAAAAGGCAGCAGCAGCAGCAGCAGCAGCAGCACAGCGTACGGATTTGCTCCTGTGAATCCTCCATTGAAGAGAAAGGCGCTGCGTCGTTCATTAGCTTTCGCAGCTGCAGCAGAAACAACAAACAGAACGCACCAATGACTAAGAAACAGCGCCGAAACAGCAACAGCGGCAGCAAATGCAGAAGCAAATGCTGCAGCACCCAAATGACTGAATCGCATCTTGGGAGCCCGTTGCTGGCGCTTCACTGCCTGCTTCTGCAGGCCTCAACCCTAAACCCTAAACCCTTAACTGTAAGCTCTAAACCCTAGACCCTCCACTCTTAACCCTACGCCCTGAACCCTAAGTCCAAAACCCCAAACCCTAAACCCTAAACCCTAAACCCTCACTGCGTCTGGCCCCGCCTCTTCAATGGTCTGCAAGATGTCCGCCTCCAGCAGCTGCTGCACTTTTGAATAAGACCCAGCCGGAAGCTTTCGGCGGTAAAGTTCAGAAAGCACCCCTTCAGCCTGCCGCCACACGCCCACACAGCTAGCTGCTGCTGCTGCTGCTGCTGCTGCTTCGCCTGGCACTCCAGAGGACAGGCGAGGCAGCAGCAGGAGCACGAGAAGCAGCAGCAAGAGCAACAGCAGCAACGGGTGCTGCTGCGGAGTAGCAGAGCCCTTTGCTGCTGCTGCGGCGCATCTAGCCGCTCCTATGAAATAGCTATTTGCCCAGCTAGCTGCTGCCCAGCTGGATGCAACCCAGCTAGCTGCAACCCAGCGTGCTGCAACAACCTCCTTCGGTAGCGGAGGCCACCGGCCTAGCTAGCTGCTTATGCTCAGCTAGCTAGCTGCCCAGCTAGCTGCTTGTGCCCAGCTAGCTAGCCACCCAGCAAGCTGTTTGTGCCCTGCTTGCTAGCTGCCTAGCTAGCTAGCTGCTGGCCCACAGCGCACCTGTTTGGCTAGCTCCCAATTCGGGAAGGCATCTGGCTGCTCCGACGGATATGCTGGCAGCTTCACTCTCTGCAGAAGACACATCAAAGGAATACCCTGATCCCTAAACCCTAAACCCTAAACCCTAGCCTGTCACCCCAAAGTCCTAAACGCTAAATCCTAAACCCTCACCAAAAGAGAGGCCCCTCTCCCTCAACACTCAACCCTCAACCCTAAACCCTAAATCCTGGGCTGTAGATCATGAATACTTAGACAGGACCAAGTTGCAGTACCTCTTCACTCTCTTGAAGCTGCGCGTTTTCCACTCTGCCTCGCCTTGTAACGCCATGTGTGGTTGCAGCAGCAGCTGCAGCAGCAGCAGTCCGCGACTGCCTCCAGGCCTTCACAGCCTTGTCCACTGCCGAAGGGCAATAAGTGCGGGCAAAGAGAGCAGCTTCAGGAGCTCGTTCTGCTGTCAGCAGCAGATCAACGCATTCTTGCATCTGCTGTGACAGCAAGTAGCACACGAAGGCAATTTGCTGCTGCTCCGCTGCTGCTGCTGCTGCGCCCAGCTGACGCAGACGCTCCACATCTCCGCTGCTGCTGTATAGCAGCAGCAAACTCGGGTAGTCTCCGCACTCCTGCGCAGCAGCAACAGTAGCAACACAGCTCAGGACAGAATGCAGGCGCAGCCAGCAGCGCGCCAAGCAGCAGCAGCAGCAGCACGCAACAGCAGAAGCAAGCCAGCAGCAGTGTTTGAAACTGAACACTGCATGGCCAGCAGCAGCAAATAAAAGCTGACTCACCCAAAATGCTGCAGCAGCAAGAGTGAAAGAGCCCTTCTGCAGCGCCGCGTCGCCCACAGCAGCCCAGCGCTGCCGCTGCACCGCCTGGCTGCTGCTGCTGCCTCTAATGAGCTCCGCGCACTGCAGCAGCAGCACGCAGGTCAGACAGCACCACCCGCTGTTAGGACTGCAATAGCAGCAGCAGCAGCAGCAGCGGCGGCTGCTGCTGCAGCAGCAAGGAAGGAAGCAGCGGCGTCAACTGCTGCAGCAGCGATGGAAGCAGCAGCTCACCATGTGAAGGTTTCCAATAGAGAGTGCGAGTTCAAAACGGAGCTGCTCGTCGCGCGCCACGGGCAAGGCCTCCGCAATGTATCTGCAGCAGCAGTAGCAGCAGCAACTTAATCTGGCCACGGGACGCGAGGCAAGAAGAGGTAACACTGTGGATAGGAATCAACTGACACCGAGAGCAGCAAAGACGTCGCCTCAGCAGCAAAGCAGCAGCAAGCGGGTATTGTCTCAGAGCGAAAAAGGCAAAAGGAGACACAGAGAAGCAGCAGCAAACGGGCAGCTGCACGCAGCAGCAAAGTGGAAAGCAGCAGCAGGTACCCGTGAGCCTGGAGAGTTCTTGCCGCTTCGTCGTGAGCCTCCAGCGGCAGCTGAGGGAAAATCTCCTCCGCAGTTTGCAGGTCTCCGCGCGCAATGGCGCCCTAGCAGCAAAAAGCCCAGCTGCAGCAGCAGCAAGTGTGGGCCCCCCTCCAATCAGCCGCTAGACGGCTAGTTGCTGCTGCCAGCCCCCTTTGCCTCTAGCTGGAGCAAAGCAGCTGGCTTTACCGCTGCACCGCCCCGGGCACCCCAGCAGCAGCGCAGCAGCAGCTGCTGCACCGTCCCGGGGACCCCAGCAGCAGCACAGCAGCCGCTGCTGCACCACCCCAGGACCCCAGCAGCAGCCACCGCACCGCCCCGAGCACCCCAGCAGCAGCTGCTGCGCCCCAGCAACAGTGCCCCAGCAGCATCTGCTGCGGCGTCCCGGAAACCCCAGCAACAGCACCCCAGCAGCAGCAGCACCCCTGCAGCAGCCCCCCAGCAGCAGCAGCAGCAGCAGCAGCAGCGCACTTGGTACTGGACGACGGCCTGGTGCAGCGTGAAGGCGTAGAGGGCGTGGGCGGGGCTGATGAGGTAAAGGCGGCTGTGCTCGGGCACGTAGGCCAGCAGCCGCAGCTCTTGGGTCTCGAGCGCATGCAGCGTTTGAGTGCGCCCCGCGCAGAAGCAGCACAGCCGGCAGCCCCGAGTCATGTACACGAAGCTGTCCAGCACCCACAGCCCGCTGCTCACGCTCTCGTCCGCCTGCGCAGCAGCAGCAGCAGCAGCAGCAGCAGCGGCGGCGGTGGTGGCGGTGGTGGTGGCGGGGTTTCGGATTTGGAGTGCGGCTTTCTGCTTCTTTTGCTGCATCTGCATGAGTCGTTTTTGATGCTAGTTATCTCGGCCGTGCG